ACAGCTTCTCTACCCATTTGTTTGTTGATGGGCACCTGGGTTGTTTCCAACTCCTTGCTATTGTGAACAGAGCTGCGATAAACATGGGTGTGCATTCTTTCCATCCTCTTTTAATGCTTCCTGCATCATTTAATATTCTGCCCAAAGCATCCTTAAGTATTGCAACTTGAGATTTGAATTTGTTCTTCAGTTCCGTCAGCTAAAATATGCTGAGCTAGTTCAGCCCTTTTGATTTTGACTCAAGCTCCTTGCACATTTCATTATAATACTTTACTTTGTCTTCCCCTGTTGCCCTCTGAAATCTTCTGTTCAACCCCTTAATATCTTTATTTCTTCCCTTTGCTTCGGCTTCTGAGCACTCCAGTAGATATTGTTAAGAAGGAAATGGAATGCATAAATATTAACATACTAGGTACTGGCGAAATGAGATGGACTGGCCTGGGGCATTCTGAGTCAGAGGATCATATGATCTACTATGATGGAGATGAAAAGGTGAGGAAAAATGGGGTTGCTTTCATAGTTAAAAAAGTCATTTCTAGATCCATCTTGAAATGCAAAGTTGTGAGTGACAGGATAATATCCATACTCATACAAGGAAGTCAAATGAATGTCACCATCATTCAAATATATGCACAAAAACCAGAGCCGAAGAGGAGAAAACAGAAGATTTCTACCCACTTTTTTAGTCAGAGATTGATCGAACATGCAATCAAGATGCATTAATAATGGGTGAATGGAATGTAAAAGTTGGAAATAGAGAAGGATCAGCAATTGGAAAACATGGACTTGGTGACAGAAATGAAGCTGGAGATAGAATGATAGAATTTTGCACAATCAACAACTTATCATTGCAAATACATTTTATAAGAAACACAAACACAGGTGATACACATGGATTTCACCTAATGGTATGCATAGGAATCAGACTGATTACATCTGTGGAAAGAATTGCTGGAGAAACTCAGTATCAGCTGTGAAAACTAGGCCAGGTGATGACTATGGAACATGCCACCAACTACTCATAGGCAAGTTCAAGCTGAAGCTGAGGAAAATGAAATCAAGTCCACAGGAACCAAAATTTGACCATGAGTCTATCCCACCTGAATTTCAAAACCATCTAAGGAACAGGTTTGAGGCCTTGGACATTAATGAGCGAAGACCGGACAAGCTATGGATATCAAGAATATAATCCAGGAAGAATGCAAATGGTCATTACAAAGATAGAGGAGGAAGAAAAATCCAAGATGGATGTCAGAAGATATTTGAAATATTGCACTGGAGCTCCGAGAAGCCAAAGTAAAGTCAATCAAAAGATGAAAAGGATTTAAAAATACTGCAAAAATATATAAGTAAAATAATGCAAAAGGTCATTACAAAGACAGAGGAGGGAAAAAAAGTCAGAAATTGATGTCAGAAGAGACTCAGAATATTGCACTAGAGCACTAAGAAGCCAAAGCAAAGGGAAGAAATAAAAAAGTTAAGGAGCTGAATAGAAAATTTCAAAAGGCAGCTTGGGAAGAGAAAGCAAATTATTATAATGAAAAGTGTTAAGAGCACAGTTGGAAAATCAAAAGGGCTGAACTCCCTCAGCATTTCTTAAGCTGAAGGAACTGAAGAACAAATTCAAGCACTGAGCTGCAAAACTTAGGGATGCTATGGGCAGAATAAGGGAGCTCTGGTGGCAAGCTGCTCCCGTGTGATTACTGCCTCTGTAAACCCACTGGAGGGTCAGCTATGGGTCGGTTCTAACTCTACGGTACACAACAATAAAAACATGGGCGGAACACTGAATGATCCAGGAAGCATTAAAAGAAGATGGAGGGGGTGGAGGGAGGGGGTAAAGGAAAGATCGGTGGGAACTTGAAAAGTTGGGGTAATGGTGGGCATAGTCCAATGGTGATTCATTTTATAAAACATAATGAATGGGAATAACTATTGTTATTCTGTTATTCCCATTTTTTATGGAGTAATGGGGATGGCTGTGTTGGATACAGTGAGAATGGCACAGGACAGAGCAGAGTTTAGGGCTGTTGTACACAGGGTCACTATGCGTCACAGGTGACTCAACAGCACATAACAACTACAATAAATGGGAATGACTGTATAAAATACAATGTGAATGAAAAGTAGTGTGAAACACAATATATACAAGCAAACCAATATAAAATAAAATTTAAAAAAAAAAAAAGATGGAAGGAGTACACATAACCACTATACCAAAAAGAACTGGCTGACACTGAAGAATTTAATGAAATAAGAGGCAATGATGATGGAGAAAGCTGAAGCTGCTCCTAAGGACTTGGCAAAAAATAAGACCTAGGAATTGATGGGATAACAACTGATATATTTCAAGAAACAGATGCTGCCCTGGCCATGATCATCAGGTTGTGCCAAAAAATCTGGAGGACAACTACCTGGCCAAATGACTGGAAGAGATACATATTTATTCACACTCCAAATACAAGTGACCCACAGAGTGTGGACATTATTGTACAATATCACTCATATCACACACAAGCAAAATCCTGCTGAAGATTATCCAGAAACAACTGGAACAGTACATTGACAGAGAACTACCAGAAACACATGCTGGATTTAGAAGAGGCTTTGGTACTAGAGACATTATTTACAAAGTCAGATGGATTGTAGCTGAACACAGTAACAGAGGAATGTCTATTTGTGTTTCACTGACTGTGCAAAGGCATCAGACTGTGTGGATCTACTACAAATTGTGGCTAACCTTGAGAAGAATGGGGATCCCAGAACACGTGACTTTATTTATGTGAAACCTATACTTGGACAAGGAAGCAGTCCTGAGAACAGAGCAGGGAAACACCGCATGGTTCAAAATCAGGAAAGCAGTGTACCAGGGATGCATCCTGTCTCCATACCTTTTCAATCTGTATGCAGAACAGATCATTTGAGAGGCTGAGCTTTATGAGGAGGAATGTGGCCTCAGGATTGGAGGAAAACTAATCAAATCTGTGTTATATAGATGACACAACCTTGCTTGCAGAAACTGAAGATGATCTGAAGCACTTGCTGCAGAAGGTCAAGAACTGTTGTCTTCAATATGGATTGAAGCTCAACATCAATAAGAAAAAACATTCTAAACACTGGGCCACCATGACAGATGGAGAAGAGATTGAGGTTGTTAACAATTTCAGCTTGCTTGGCTCCACCATCAACACTCTTGGCACTAACAGTCAGGAAATCAAATGGCGAATTGCTTGGAGCTCTGGTGGTCTAGTGGCAAGAAGCTACACTGCAATACCAGAGGCACGCAGTTCAGATCCACCAGTTGCTCTGCTGGAGAAGGGGCAATCTCCTCCTGTACCAGTCTGATCTGATTTGTTGGTATACACACACAAAATAATTAAATTTTTTAAAAAAAAAGACAAATTGCACTGGGGAAATCTGCTGTTAGGGTCCTCTCCAAAGTGCTACAGAGTAATGATGTCAGTCTAGGGACTAAGGTGCACCTGGTCCAGGCCATGGTCTTTGCAATTACTTGCTATGCATCAGAGAGCTGGATAATGACTATGGATGACAGAAGAAGAATCGATACCTTTGAGTTTTGGTGTTAGACCATGGACCACCAAGATAACAAACTGGTCTGCTTGACAGGGTGAAACCAAGTTTCTCCCTGGAGGCAAGGGCTTTGAAGTTCCATCTTACATACTTTGGGCATGTGGCCAGGAGGGACCAGTCCTTGGAGAAGGACAAGGCCCGTGCAAGAAAGGAAGACCCTGGATGAGATGGAATGGCACAGTAACTGGGGTAATAGGCTTAAGTATGTCAGGGTCAGTGAGACTGGCTCAGAATTGGGCAGGTTTCAGAGCTACTGTACTTAGGGTCACGGTGAGTGGCAGGTAACTCAATGGAACATAACAACAACGTGTCACTGAGTCAACTACAACTCATACTGACCCTATGAACAACCTGAATCTTGCTCTACCCTGCATTGTCTTTACAATCTTTTCGGTAATTCTCTATTTAGATTAGCTGGGACAGAGGACAACTTCTAACAATATTGGAAACTATACACTAGAGTACTAATTATAGAACAGACTGACCAAAATTGCTGTTAAATGCCAAACTAGATTCACTAATTTCCCTCACAATTAACTTCCTTTACTTTCATCAGGGAAGGAAACATTTAATGGCCTCTTCTCCCCATAATTTGAGAGACCTTACCCTCTTAACAGTAATTAAACTCTATGAACAAATAAAGGAATCTTCCCAAAGTAGTAATATCCCTTTGTTAATGAATACAGAGACATGTAATTTCATTCTGGGAAACTCGGGAAGCAATTTACTAATTGTATAGTATGTCTTTTTGTCAGATTATTTTAAAAGGAAAACCTATATAAATCGTGCATAAATAGTCACCACAATCAACTCCTTAGCAAGTTAACAAGTTCTCTGCTTGAAGGAAGGAACAGTGTCTGTAACCCTATGCAACTCAATCTCCCTAGCACCTGCACACCACCTGCAACCTCAATGCTCAGTCAACATTTACAGCCCTAACAATGTCAGGATAAGACAGGGAGGAGAGTGCCACCCAGTGGAGCTGGGAAGGAAACACCATTCTCCCTCGAGGGGCCAGGAGTTAACCATCAAGAATCAACCAACAAAGCATTCTAATTTTGTAAATAAACTTGTATAATTAAGAAAAAAAAAAGGATCAACCAAAGAGGTTAAGTTTCTTTTTCCTTTTTTTACCTGGGCAACATCTATATAATTTATCAGGTCTAGTGGCCCTTCCAGACTTTTTCCCTCTGAGAATTTCAGTTTCTCAATGGCACCAACATACTTAATTCGAAATTCAGCACAGGTATCTGAATTATTGTTGCTTTGTCCTAAAGTTAAAAGAAACAGTGTAAGATACAGTTCTTTCTCAAGTAAGAAATAGACTGTGTCATACAACTTAACTTTTCATACAAATTGTTAAAATATAAAACACTTTCTGTATCATGGGGAAGACTAAGATGTCACAAATTTTTTTCCAAGTAATTTACAATATGTTAAATATATACAAATATCTGTAAGAATAAATTAGATATTAAATCCATTGTTAAATGGGAAAAATGTCTACTAGATAATTTTTCTTATCTTTATAATGCATAATATTTCATTGCTTGCTATTTGTTTCCTTTCCCACTTTACCATGTTAACTTTTTAAATTTCTTTCCTGACTCAGGAAGCCTAGTCTTCCTCCGCTATTCAGTCAGGAAAAAAAAGCCTTAAAAAAAAAAATATATATAGATGACTAATACAGACAGGAAGTCTCTCAACATAACAGAGAGCAATGAAAATTGAGCCACTACAGAAATTATCATAAAACCAAAAAACTACAGAAATTATAATACTTGTTTCTAACATATTAAGAGCATTGTTATTACTTTTGTTTATTTAATAAAAGGATGCCCCCATTTTTACTATTATAAAGGCACCTAGTAAAAATAATTCATCTTATTCTATTATATTCTTTTACATTATCTGAGTCTACTTCTTCTCTTTCACAAATTAAAGGAAAAAGTAGAAGACTCTACATAAGAAAATGAATACAGTATAGTTCTAATTAGTCACTGGCTTTTTACAAAGCTTGGCTTAGATCTCCTAGGTCTACTGATTTCAGGTGGCTCTCTGGCTGCTGTGAGGAGGCAACAGGTTTTGGTTTACTATGTAAATGTTTAAAAATTCAGAAGTCTCAACATAGCTTTTTGTAAGAAATGATGTACCACATCATTCTACCACCTTCTACCAGAAGGTGACCCACAAAATAAAGGAATTTTATTATTTATACAAAAGGATTAAGGAGACAAGTACCCACAGATACACTGATATATATATATCAGACATATATATATATATGATATATAGCTCCATAATATCAGGAACACACAGTAATTAGTTGAAACTTCTCAATTCCTTCTACAAAATGTTTATCCCACATTTTCAGTCTCAGGTCTACCGAGTTGAGTCTGCTCATGTGTTTTCAGTAACCTACATAGAAGTGACTTTGAAAATTCACTTGACATCCTCAAGCTTACATTCCATCAAATCTTGGTCCATTTTCAAATGCTTACCAGAAATGACAGAGGAAGAAACCTGAAATACATGAGAACTCATCGTGCTACATGGATTAAAACAATATGAGTATAAATTAGAAGTCTTGGACAATAAGTGATCCAGCCCTTGAACATACCTGAGCTTTTAGTGGAATCTGTATCAAGGCTGGCTACAGTACTGGACCGTGAAAGCCCTCCAAGGCTGGAATCTACAGACTAAAAAAGAAAGAAAACCTCAATATAATAAGAGCCTATCTTCTCTGAGGTACTTACTCTACCAAGCACACTGAAATTATTTTTTATTTTTCATTTCTATATTATTTTATTTCTTATAAATTAACACTTACTATAAATTATTTCAAAAAATCAGGTCCATTTTTTAAGCCAAATAACCAAGACCAATTTTTCTGAAGAAACACACTCTAGCAAATATAAAAAGTTACATAATACCAACTACTCTTTCAGAAATTATACTGGATCATTTTTCTTAAATTAGATCGAATCAGTGACATGTCACTTTCTCCTTATAAGACATTCATTATCTTATATTTATGTAATATATGAAAATCTATATACTTTGCTTTTACATGATTCCATTTAGCACAAAACTTTTTTAATTTGTTTGTTTGTTTAACCCCTTATGGAGGAAGGAGGGAAGAGAAGATTATCCTGTTTTAGAAATAAGGAAAGAGACCCAGAGAGGTTAAGTGATTTATGCAAGGTTGCTGTTTGTTATTATGTGTGACGAGTCACTTGCAATTCACATCTAAGGTTATATCTAGTAAATTCCTAAGATTTCAAATGTAGGTCCCCATGTCTAACCCAGTGCTTCTGCAATTATTCTAACTAGTATCTGACACACAGAAGTTAATTAAATACACAAACAGGCCAAATGTCAGAGCAAACATAACAAGGTAAGTTTCAGCGAAGGAGCGCTGGTGCCCTTTGGAAAGAAGCTGTGCTGCCAATGCCAAAGGCACATGGTTTGAGGCCACCAGCTGCTCCGTGGGAGAAGGATGGGCAATCTGCTGTGTGGTTAATCGCCTCTGAAAACCCGCTGGAGGATCAGCTATGGGTCGGTTTCGACTCTATGGTACATAACAACAACAAATTTCAGAAATCAATAAACTGACAGAATCACATATATCTGTGTAGTTCATTCTGGCAAATTATACTGTCAGTGTGTTTAATCTTCTAAGGAAAAAACTTAGTAAAAACTTTTGGTTAAAAAAGTTAGTGACTTGTGACATAAATAAATTAAAAGTATACTCAATTTTTTTAAAAGCTTAAGAAGTGAATCAAAGGGGACTACAAGAATGTATCAAATCTTCCAAAAATCCCTTCCCTTTCTCAATAATTGCCCTTCCTAGAATATAAAATATGGAGAACTATATGTAAAAAAGTAGCCTTCATGACATTTGCTATTTGTGGCCCAGAAAAACTGGGAAATGACCTAAATATTCAGTTGGCGGGGAGTGGTAGAATGAAGATATTACAAATTCAGACTGCTTTCTGGACTGAGGCCTGAGCAAGTTTTTGGACTTTAAACTATGCCCTCCATCCTTCAAAAGGAAAACATCATTTCCTACAACAGGAAGAGAGAAACTGGGCTATTTTTCTCACAGTCAGGACATATCAACAAAAGCAGTTTCATTCTAAAACATAAATCTAACAGTAAGCTTTGTTTTAAAGTCCTCCTATTTCCCCACCTCCAGATAAGCCCTGCACTCCTCTGTGTGTCGGACAGAGGTGGGCCCTTCCGCACGGCCGGCAGAGAAGCAGGCCCCTCCTGCGTTTCTCTGGCCCCTCTGGCCCACTAGCCTGCATCCTGTGCAACAGTCCCACCACAGAAGCATTAACCAGGTCCTTGCAGGAATCAGAAAACTTCAGCTAATTTAATCCTAACACCTTCTTACTATTTGTTTTCTGATCTAGAAAATAAGATCTTTAACTTGTGTTGTGAAGGAAGCAGTAAGGTTCTCTCAGAGCAAAGAAACTTTCAAGAAAACTCCTAATTTTCCCATTCTAAGACTGAGCAGGATTACTAAAATTATCAAATTGCCATGCTTTCAGCTAGACATGTATCAAATCAGTGGTAACAATGATTATCTCCCTCTGAAAATCCTGAATAACACAAATGGAATATCTTCATTTCAAAGTGAGGACATTATAGTTTAACAGTATGGTATACACAGGGTACAGATTACCCAGGAAACAAGATTATAAAGGTGGCAGCACTTTCACAGGGGGGCACCTGTACAACCCTGAGAGTGAGTGCCTTCTGAAAGTCTGTGCCTCGTGTACCATCTCTCTTATCTCACCCGAGTCATGCTCCAGAGTACACAAGACTTTATAAACAGAGCTCCCAAGAGTAGAAAATAACAAGGAAGATTCTTCTACAGTAAAAATTTAAGAAATAAAAAAATTTAAGAACCACTGGCTTCATTTCACGTATTTTGGGCATGTTGTTAGAAGAGGCTATTCCTTGGAAAGGGACATCATGCTTGGAAAGGCAACCAGAGGTCAGCAAGAGAGGAAGACCCTTTGCGAGTTGCAACAATGGTCTCACGTCTGTCAGGAATGATAAAAGACGGATGGCACAGGATAGAGCAGGGTTCAGATCTATTGTTCATTCATAGGATCGCTGAGTCAGACACAACTCAAAGGCACCTAACAACAAAACATCTCCTTTAAGGATCTATTTAGGTATTTGCCTCTCTATCCAACTGACTAACACACTCTCTTTCCACCTGCCATAACACTGATCTTCTCTTCTGGAACTGTAATGTCTAACCTTATAAACGTATTTCCACCCATAGGTTAAGGCCTCGTTCATTTCCAGTTTCCCCCCCTACAATTTCCTAGTCACTAAATTATTCAAGTAATACACTATAGCTACAATTTCACCTTTTCTTGGTTATTTACTGTGCCTAGACTACTTTAGGTCTTAATTGCACTAATCATGTCTCTAATGCTATCTGAAATAACTTGGAAAAAATTCCTGCTTCTATAACAGCTCAGCAAGTACTAGCACTATAAATAAATATTAACTTGTGGCTGATGGCTAGTACAAATGGCTGGATCCTGGGGCAGTCCCTACTTAGCAGGAAGCTGAAAAGGTGTAAATAAGTGAAAGCTCTTTATACTTCACAAAGAATCCAATCGACTGTTATTTCAATGGTGCAAGCTTTGAGTCTTTCCTTTTTCTCACACTTTGTGGTAGCCAATCTATCAACAAGTCCTGCTAGCTTGAGTCTGAAAATACATCCAGAATATGGCTTTCTCACACCATCTCTATTACTAGCTCCACCTGGCGTTAGGTGTCACCATCTCCTACTTGGATTATTACAATATCCTCCCAACCAGCACCTCTGCTTCCATCCTTGCCACCCTATAGCAGTAAAAAATGATTCCAGTTAATAAGGTTCTGTCACTCCTCCATCCCAATTCTATAAGGTGTTTCACCTTGCCCAGAGTAAAAGCCCAAGCATTTACAATGATCCACTAGGTCCCAGATAACCCAGCTTCCTTGCCTTTCTAACCTCCTCTGCACACCTCCTGCCCAACTACCCTCCATTCCAGTCACACTGGTCTTCTTGGCTCTTTCTCAAACATGGCAGGAATGCTCCTGCCTCAGCGCCTTTGTACTTGCTGTTTCCTCTGCTTGAAGACTCTTCCTGCAGGCATCACCATGGTTACCTTTACACCTCTCCTCAAATGCTACCTGTAAAATGCTGCCTGACTACCAAGACCAATCAGTCTGATGGGAATAACGACACAGTCCTAGATAGAATGTGAGAAAAATGTACAACAAAATTCAAAATCATAAAAAAGACCAGACTTAATGGTAGGATACAGATTGAGAGAAGTCCAGAGACTACGTACGGCCCTTCAAACCTGGACCTGAATCCAAGCATGGAGATCACCTTTCAGTCAAACAATAGACATGCTTCTGATGTGATCACCACCCTTGAGGAGCAAGCTCCTCAGAACAAACCACCATAAGGGCAGGAGTTGCCCAAGAACAGAGTTTAGAAAGCAGGAAGGAGCAGGACAGAAGGGCAAATGGAAATGGGAAATCCTGGGAGGAGGTGGGAAGAGTACTGTAACACACTGTAACACTGTACAGTTGAGGGACTGCAACTAACGTCACAAAATATGTATTAATTATTGAATAGAAAAATAAATTTCTCCCTAAATTTGCACTCAGATCACAATAGAAAATGTTACAAGAACAAGAACTTGTCCTAAATTTTAAAATCAGATTCCTTTAAAACTGCAAGGTTCCCAATCTCCCACCCTTCTTCATTCCCTACATGTTTTCCTCCCATAAATGTCTTCACCATGACATACTCGATATATTACTTATTATTTTCTCCCTCACTGAGAATGTAAACTTTATGAAGGGTGGAGTTTATTTTGTTTTCCTCTTTTGAACTTTTCTAGCCTCTGTATCTAAATCACTATTTCTAAGAACAGAACTTACAGGAAACCCTATGGGGCAGTTCTACTCTTTCCCTACAGCCACTGATGTTTTTAGGTAGTGGAGTTAGAACCGTCATAGCTGACCCTCCAGCAGGTTTTCAGAGGCAGCAAGTCGCACGGGAGAAGACTTTCCATCTTTCTTCCAAGGAAAAGCTGGTGGATTCGAACCATATACCTTTGGGTTGGGAGCACACCTCCTTACCACTAAGATAGTAGCTAGCGTTCCTTACTTATACAGCCACTAGGAGTCGGAACCGACTCAACACACAAGAACAACAACAGTGCTAAACATGAGAATAAATGAACTACAGTTTTCATATGTGCCGGTCCAGCAGGCAAAGAAAGAATACCATTCTTCAACACTCAACAGCACTGGCCCAGAAACCCCAAAATTCTTAAAAGTAGCTATAATTCAGCTTTAATCTTTCTTCTCTTTCTCTCAGACCTTTGAAGAGGTCAGCAAAATGGCCTGCTGAATAAATCTTCAAATGTTAATTTTTCATAAATTAGTTCCATATGTAATGTCCAACAATATTCAGAAAGTCTCTGGAAAACATGCATTTGGAAAGTTAACTGTTAAGTAAATAGAATTATAGTTATAAATACCATTGAACCCTAGAATTTAAGAGTCTAGCCCTTAAAAGCCTGCTATTTTTAGCACTTAGTAAGTTTTAAAATCAGTATTTATTTCAATGAAATTATTCATAAGTTGTCTCTATTATACTTTAGTGTATTAAAGAATTTAAGGACATTTACCAAAATGAAAAAGAATTAAACTAAGTACAAAAATGTGTTTCTAGTCCAAAAAAGAATGTTAAAACACATTGATTTGAAGATATCGGGCTGTCTGCCTGCAGTAGTATCCTCCATGTGGTATAAGTTAGAAGAAATAAAAGACTCACTGCTTTAGAGTCGACTTCAAATCCCCTTGTTCCTACCTTACTCTTAGTACTGATTTCACTGCTTTGGGAACTGCTGCTACTGTGCCGTTTTTTGCCTTTCCGGAACATTTTTCACCATAGCTTGATCCAAAGAAGCGTCCCTGAAAAAACAAACATTAGTACAAAAATATAAAGAAAAGAACTTAAATCGCCTTATATACAATAATAATAAAAACTACTCATTCTTTTCCACTGCCTGTGTTTATTTTTTGTTTACAATAGAATTATTTTCCAATTGGCAGCTTCATGACAGAGGAGAAACTATGATGGTTAATAACTTCAGCTTGCTTGGTTCCACAATCAACACTCTTGGCATCAGCAGGCAGAATGTCAAAAGACAAACTGCATTGGAAAGATGAACTGCATTGGGCAAGGCTGTTGTCAGGAACTTCTCTATAGAGTACTGAAAACCAACAACGTCAGTCTGGTGACTAAGGTGTGCCTGATCCAGGCCATGGTCTTCGCAATTACTTGCTATGCATCAGACAGCTGGACAATAAGTAAGGATGATAGAATGATTGATGCCTTTGAGTCACACTTGAGAAGAGTGTTGAACATACTGTGGATTGACAGGAGAACAAACAGGTATGTCCTGGAGAGGGTGAGACCAGCCTGCTCCCTGGAGGCAAAGATTTTGAAGCTCTATCTCACATATTTTAGGCACATGGCCAGGATGGCTCAGTCCTTGGAGAAGGACATCATGGTGAAGGGACAGCACCGGAGAGGAAGACCCAGGATGAAATGGTTTGACTCAGTGACTGGAGAAATGGGATTAGTCTGTCAGAGACTAGGAGATTGGCTCAAGACAGAGTAGGGTTCAGAGCTAACGAAGGATCACTATCAATTGCAGGTGACTCGACAACATGTAACAACAAAACAAATTGTGGACATTATTTTTTCAATTTCAAAAAGAAAAACCAATAAATCAAAAGGTAGAACTCTACCTGTCATATCTAGAAGTAAAATAAGCACTTCTATTGAAAATTATACAAATTATCTAGTTTTCAAAATTTGCAAGTCTTTTTTTTTAACCAAGTCAAGAATTTCATGAAATGCTTGATTCAATTAACCAGTTTACCAACCAAATCTTTTTTGGTTTTGTTAATTTTTTTATTGTCATCTTAACAAAAGTTTACAGAAAGGCTGGGCTTTCACTCATTCATTGTTACAGATATACATCCCTTCCCCTGCCTCCCACTCCCCTAGTGCACTTTGTAATGCACCTCTTATTCCAGATTGTCATACATATAGTACCTAATCATACATTCCTTTCAGTCTTTCATCTCTTCCAGTACAATGTTCATTATCTAGCCACTCTTTCCTGTTCTTACCCTTGCACCCTCTGACTCCCACTCTTCCCAACTACTCCCACTCCCTCCAGTCCTATTTTATAAAAGTGCTGTTATGCAGTACTTGTCCTTTTGTGACTGAGACATTTCATTCAGCACAATATCTTCTAGGCTTATACATGCTGTGTAGTATTTTACAAGTTCATTATTTTTCAATGCTGCACAATATTCCATGTGTGAATGTACCATGGTTTTTCTATCCATTTGCTTTTTGATGGGCAGTTGGACTGCTTTTATCTCTTTGCTATTGTGAATAATGCAGCAACAAACATGGGTGTGCACACATCCATGCCTCTGGTTTCTTTAGGGTATATTCCCAGTAGTGAGATAGCTGTGTCAAATGGTATTTGTATTTCCAACTTTTTGAGAAAACACTAGATTGCTTTCTGCAGTGGTTGTACCATTTTACATTCCCACCAGCAGTGTATGAGAGTTCCAATCTCTCTACAACCTCGTCAGCATGTGTTGTTTACCGCCCTGTTGAACTTCACTATTGTTGCGGGTTGAAATGATATCTCATAGTTGGACCAATCAAATGTTTAAATCATTGCCTCATTCTCACATTTTGTTCTTTGCAGGGCTAAGAACAGGTAATATAACTATCTTTTAGTAATGTGCATCTTTCTTACAGTTCTAAAAATATCTTTAAAGTAAAACGACATAAACATATTCCTAACTGGCAATATCTCACCTCCTCACTGAAATAAAGTCAGGAAAGGAGATGCTGCTAAACTTTCCAGAATCAATTTAGGCTTTTTTTTTCTTAAAAAAAAAAAAAAAAGGATTTATGCCTTGGAAATATTAGTAAGCTTTCTTTTTGTGTGTATATATACACAAAGACAGAGAGAATTTTAAGAGTAGAATTATTTTTATATGTCCATATAAAAATACTTTTATTATAACTATTACTAATCTATACAATATTCGACAGTTCAAAGTATTCCCAAATAGATTTTCTCATTTTATCCTAACAACCTCATGATGTATTAACTTGATCCATAGATATTTTGTGCCACATTCTCTGCGAAGTTCCTACTCTCAAAAGCTTATAGAAGGTAGGCTATAATGTGCATTATACAGATGAGAGTATAATGGCCTGTCTTTCATGATTTATGAATAAAATAATCTAACAAATTTTACAAAACAGAATACTACAATGTGAACAAATAAATCAATAATATCTAATATAGTGCTACTGTCTTCAAAAGTTCCACACCCAGACATCTACCTAGATCATGTCCTTCCATTCTGACATGGTCAATTCTTTTGAGAAAAACCATTACATACCAAGTTAAGTAAAAAGAATGAGTAGATCATGAGGTTTTCAATAAATGGCTCTGCTTCAATGAAAAGTTTCTCCCATTGTATTTAAAGACTTTACTGAGTCCACTAAGGAGCTATATCACCCACGACTTCAGACTATCACCCAAATCTAACTCCTGAGCCCAGGTCATTACCCTCATTATTCACTTTACTTCCATGTTGTTGTTAGGTGCTACCTAGTGTGATTCACTCACTCACCCATTCTTGAATAGTCAGTGAGCACCTACTGGGTACTGGGCATACATCAGTGAAAAGAACAAATTAATCTCCTGACTATATGGAGATCATATTTTTAAGAAAGTAAACAGACCAAGAAATAAGACAAAGATAAAATATATTGTTGTTGTTATGTGCCGTCAAGTTGCTTGTAACTTATGGTGACCCTATGTACAACAGCTCTGAACTCTGCTCTATTCCGAGCCAACCTTATTGTCTCTGACACACTCACCCCCATCACCCTATTCACTGAATCAACCCATCTCATCGAGGGTCTTCCTCTCCTGAGCTGTCCTTCCAACCTCCCAAATCTGATGTCCCTCTCAAAGGACTGTTCCTTCTGGCAACATGCACAAAGTATGTCAGATGGACCTCCAGAACCCTTGTCTCCAAGGAGCAGCCTGGTTTCACCCTCTCCAGGATGAACCTGTTTGTTACCCTAGCAGTCCATAGTATATTCTTCTCTCCAGCACCACAACTCAAAGGAATCAATTCTTCTTTTATCACCCCTAAGTCATTGTCCAGCTTTCTGATGCATAGCAATAAAATATATTACTAGGCAATAATAATTGCTATGATAAAAACTAAAATACCCTAAGGTGACAAAGAATGATTACAGAAAGGGATAAATATTTGTGATCTGAAAAAGTGAGAAGAATGGAGGCTGAAGGAAGTGTGGTAGCCATAGTAGATGTGGAGAAAAGACATTTCTGTTAGAAGACATAGCACGTATAAAGATCATGGGAGAACAAGTTTGAAGTACAATAAAAGTTCAATATGCCTTGGGCAGGAATGAGAAGGAAAATGAGAGATAAGGATAAAGATACAGGACCAGATCACAGAAGATCTTGCAAACTATGACAAAATGCCTTAACAGGAAGATTCTGGAGCTTTTTAAGGAGTCAAGTGACATGATGAGATTTGTTTTAAAAACACAACTCTAGCTAATGGGTGGAGAAACTAACTATACAGAATAAAAATAAAGAGGATGACTAGTTAGAGGGCTGTTGCAGAGAAGCCTGTTACTGTGATAAATAGTAACTTTGTCATCATAAAATACCTCTGAATAAAACTGTTAAGGCAGGAGATCTTTATTCTAATGTTGCTCCCAAACAGGTTTAACCTAGCAGTATAAAGATGTTGTTGTTGTACGCCTTCAAGTTGGAATTGACCACAACTGACCCTCCAGTGGGTTTTCAGAGGCAGTAAATCGCACAGGAGACTGACCATCCTTCTCCCACAGAGCAACTGGTAGATTTGAACCATGTGCCTTTGAGATTGCAGCAGGCTTCTTTCCACTAGACCACCAGAGCTCCCTTACAAAGTTGTTAATAGTCATTAACACATTATACGTTGGACTGAGAATCAACAGGTCAGTGACTTGAATACAACGTTTGCACCACTGGAGAAAAGACAGGTAGTGTCCCTTTGCAAAAGTATACAGGCTTGGAAACTAATGGAGGGTTGCCACCAGTTAAAAGTGACTCAACTATAGTGGGTTTTTGAGATCTGGTGGGTTTCTGGTAAGGAATATCACTACCAACCCAAAGATAAGCACTTCAATTCCATCAGCTGCTCCACAGGAAAAAGATGAGCAATCTCCTCCCATGTGATTTAATGCCTCTGAAAACCGCTGGAGGGTTAGCTATGGGTCAGTTCCTACTCAACAGTACTCAACAACAACAGTGGGTTTTTAATGGGTTAAGATGTTGACATTAACTTACTTTAAAACATTATATAAATATTACATACAAAGCAATTCTACATGTGATTTTAAAAATGAAATTTGACTCTCTTTTTAAAAGAAATGTTGTTGTTGTTATGTGCTGTCGAGTTGCTTGCGACTCATAGCGACCCTATGTACAACAGCTCTAAACTCTGCTGTCCTGTGCCAATCGCACTGTCTCCGACAAACTCATCCCAAATGCCCCAGTCACCGAATCAATCCACCTGCCGAAGGGCCTTCCCCTCCTGTACCTGCCCTCCACCCTCCCAAGCATGATCTTTCTCCAAGGACCGGTCTCTCCTTACAACAAGACCAAAGTATGTCAGACGAAGCCTCAGAATCCTTGCCTCCAAGGAGCATCCCGGTTTAACCCTCTCCAGGTTGAATCTATTTCTTTTCTTAGCAGTCCATGGTACCCTCAACACTCTTCTCCAACACCAAAGCTCAAAAGCATCAATTCTCCTTCTATCCTCCCTGGTCACTGTCCAGCTCTCTGACACATAACAAGTGGTCCGCACCTTAGTCTCCAGAGACACACCGTTGCTCTTCAGTACTTTAGAGAGGTCCCTAACAGCTGACTTTCCCATCGCAATACTTCTTTTAATTTCCTGGCTGCTGGTGCCAAGAGTGTAAGTAAAGTTTTTAGACACTTGTATTATTCTAGTGCCTTCACAACTACTTAAGGCTTCCTTTTCATCAACCTAGGAGCTTTATAAAAAAACCTCTGATATCTACCATACTTTGAACCAAATTCTTTATCAAATCATTCTTGTTTCTAAATTATTCATACGTCAAAATGCGGGCAATGATACGTCATTTAGACGTTCCAGAGACTTATTAAATGAAAAAAATGTCTAAAGCTCTCATTACCTTCCCCTGCAGAAGCACGCCTCCTCGCTTCTGTGTTTCAGGAAATTACATTATGTGCAAGATATAAACTAGGAGTAATGCAGACTCCTATGTCCTTCAACCGCCATATTCACTGAATGTACCATCTGAATGGACGCTCCACATTAAGCCCTCATTAGACTATTGCTCTAGTAATTACTAATATTGTTCTAAAGAAGTTCTTTTTTAGTATATGAAAGATTCTCAACCCATAAAAATGCATACATGCGCAAAGTGTCACAATTTTAAAAACTCACATATCCTCTGAAGAAATATAGATGAGGGACCTGATTCTAACTTCGGTGTTGTTACGTACCATGGAGTCAGAACTGACTCAAAGATGACCCTCCAGCTGGTTTTGGGAGGCAGTAAATCACACGGAAGGTAACTGTGCATCATTCTCCTGTGGAGAAGCTGGTGGATTTGAACTGCATACTTTTGCACTGGAATTGCAATTCTCTACCACTATGCCACCAGAGCTCCCTTAGTTCAAACCAGACTCCTCAATTCTCTATAAAAAGGGAGTTCTGGTGACAAACCACACTTCTAACCCAAAGGTGGCACCTCTCTGACAGTTCAAATATAGGAGCAGCTCTGTAGAAAAGAGTCAATCTTTAAATCTACCATCATGCTATAAAATAATATTTTTAAACAAAAATTTATCACTATCCTCATTAAAATTTTAAATGGGGGAGAAGGGTGCAACAATGAATGAATGGCATTCCAAAACCTCTATAATGTTCACTGAAATGAAAAATAAATTAAAATGTAAAAAAAAAAAAATTTAAATGGTTCCCCTAAGTAAGACCAAAGTTAAACATTCCTCATCATGACATACAAGGTAATCCATTACTTGGCCTCTCTTTACCTCTCCACATCTTCCATAACAACCTACTTGAAATTTCAATCTCTCAGTGATGTAAAACTGATCCTCAGCACACATGATGTTCCATGTTTCCAGGCTTTGAGCCTAACTGAGTCATTATATAGAAAGGAATTGGCAGATACAGAAGAATTTAAAGAAATAATATATGAGCAAGAGCCTATGGTGATGAAGAAAGAAGTTCAAGTTGCTTTGAAGGAAATACCCAGGAATAGATGGTATACCAATTGAAGTATTTCAGATAACAGATGTTGCCCTGGATGTGCTCACCAAGTTGTGCCAAGAAATCTGGAAAACCACCACTTGGCCAACTGACTGGAAGAGATCTATATTTGTTCCCATTCCAAAGACAGGTGACCCTACTGAGTGTGGAAACTACAGAACAGTGTCATTGATTTCACATGCAAGCAAGATGCTACTGAAGATTATCCAAACAACGATTAGAACAGCACATCAGCAGAGAACTTCCGGAAGTCCAGGCTGGGTTTAGAAGGGGTCGTGGTACTAGGGATATTGTTGCTGATGTTAGATGGATCTTGGCTGAAAGCAGAGAATACCAGAAGAATGTCTATATGTGTTTCACTGATTATGCAAAGGCATATGACTGTGTGGATCATAACAAACTGTGGCTGACTCTGAGAAGAATGGGAATCCCAGAACATTTAATTGTGCTAATGCGAAACCTATACTTGGACCAAGAGGCAGTAGTCAGAACAGAGCAGGGTAACACTGCATGGTTCAAAATTGGGAAGGGTGTACGCCAGGGATGCATCCTGTCTCCACACCTTTTCAACATGTATGCAGAGATTATCATCCGAGAGGCTGGGCTCTACGAGGAGAATTGTGGATCAGGATTGGTGGAAGATCTATTAACAATCTGCGTTATGCAGATGACACAACCCTGCTTGCTGAAACTGAGGAGGACCTCATGCACTTGCTGCGAAGGGTCAAGGACTGCAGCCTTCAGTATGGACTGAGGTTCAATGTCAAGAAGACAAAGATTCTCACCACTGGACCAATTGGCAGCGTCAGAATGGATGGCGAGGAGATTGAGATTGTTCACAGCTTCAGTTTGCTCAGCTCCACAGTCAACACTCTTGGCACCAGCAGTCAGGAAATAAAAAAACGTGTCGCGATGGGAAAGTCTGCTGTTAGGGACCTCTCTAAGGTACTCAGGAGCAACGGTGTCTCTCTGGAGACTAAGGTGCGCCTGATACAGGCCATGGTATTTGCAATTGCTTGTTATGCATCAGAGAGCTGGACAATGACTAGGGAGGACAGAAGGAGAGTGGACGCTTTTGAGCTGTGGTGCTGGAGAAGGGTACTGAATGTACCATGGACTGCCAGGAAAACAAACAGATTCATCTTGGAGAGGATTAAACCAAGCTACTCCTTGGAGGCAAGGATTCTGGGGCTTCGTCTGACATACTTTGGACATGTTGCCAGGAGGGACGGGTCCTTGGAGAGGGATATCATGCTTGGGAGGGTGGAGGGACAGCGCAGGAGGGGAAGACCCTCTATGAGATGGACTGATTCGGTGACTGGGATAATCAGGATGGGTGTGTCAGAGGCAGTGCGATTGGCGCAGGATAGAGCAGGGTTTAGGGCTGTTGTGCATAGGGTCACTATGAGTCGCAAACAACTCGACGGCACATAACAACAACAACAACATTCATCCTTCAAGATTCATTCCAGGCTTTTCTTTGAGAAAGTTTTTCTTGGACCTCTAGGTGGGTATCACAGATTCTTCCTCCATAGCTTTCATGTACATTTCTAACGAAGATCTGTTACTATCTACTTATGAAAGGAGGCTCACTGGTACCGTAGTTAAGGACTCACCTGCTAACGAAAAGGTTGTGAGTTTGAAACCACTAGCTGCTCCACAGGAGAAAATACCTGGCAATCTGCTCCTGTAAATGCCACACGGTTCCACTTTGTCATACAGAAGCAATATAAGTCAGAATCAACTGGAAAGGAAGCAGAAACAGCACTGTCCACTTAGAGCTCTCTCACTTTAAGCTCCTCAAAGGCAGGGATTTGGTTCGGTTTATATGTCTTTCCCAGTGGCCAGCACAACCTTACAGAAGACATGCTTAATCCATTTGAGAAGTTTCTTGGAAGATGACACATAAGCCTCATTTACTGAACCCCTATCTTGAGCCATGCACACTACTAGAGCTGTTTATATTTCCAGCCCTCATTCCTGACCAGCAAGATTGTAGGATTTCAGTTCCCTCCAAATAAGAAAATGAAAGTTCCAATATTTTAAGTGACTTGACCAAGGTCACGATGCCGTCAAGGATGCAGTCAAGTTCACAGACACCACTCTGTTAAAGAGTGTTTGCTTGGTTGTGAAGACACCGACAGTAAGTAAGGCTGAATCAATCCCTTAGGCAGGAGGAGGAGGGAAGTGAAGGGGTGTAGGAGCAAAGAAGGCGAAGGGGTGTAGGAGCAAAGAGTACAGGGGGAAAAAAAGAGTGCTTTTTATCTCACCTTCCTCATGGAACAAGAAATGGCAGATTTTGACATAGAAGACACCCCAGAGCTATAGATGCTTCCACTCCATTTTGCTCAAACCTGACAGGAAAGAGTCAGGCAGGATTATCTGATCAGGCATTACTGTCGCACAAGCGGACAGGGGCAGGAGGAGAAGACGGGCCCTCGGGCAGATGCTTCACACCTCAACTCCTGCAGCCAGCAGCAGACGCGTGCCCTCCTTCCCGCCCACGGCTTCCCCAGGCTTTGACCTCAATGCCACCCGCATCCCTGCGCCCACCACCCATACCTTTGGATCTCTCCCTTCCTACCCGGTCTCCCTCAACCCTGAAGACCACCAGCTCTCCTCCCAGCCCCATCCCATCAGTTCCAGCTGCTGACCTCACCCAGCCTGGCGACGCCCTCCGGGACTCGGTTCCCCGTCACACACCCCTGAGCCGCCTGTAGGGGGCGCTCATCCCCGGGTGGGGCGAGTGCTCACAGCCGCGGCTGGCCCATCCTAGGAACCACTTTGGGTTCGGAGTAGAGTCGAACCGCTAAAGCAGCCGAGGCGACTGAAGGATATTCCTGTTTTAATTCCAGCGCCAGATTTTTCAATCCTCCTTCACCCGCCCGCTTTCTACGGCTTTAGAGATTACGCGCAGGCGCAGTCAGGACTGCCCGCTCCGGGCTTCCGGACTCCGTGGTAGGGTGGGACCTCACGAGCCGGTCTCTCCGACCGGAAGGAGAGGGGCGGGTCCTCGTGCCGCGGGCCCTGCGGGGCCGGAAGTTGTGCTTGCGGTGTTTGGAGTTACTTATTTGGTTCCTGGTGGCTGAGGCTCAAATTTAAAAAGAATACTACGGTCTGTTCCTTATCCTGGTTTCTTCCGTAGACCTCCGAGATGTCTGCAATTCCTGCTGAGGAGAGTGATCAACTGCTGATCCGACCCCTGTAAGGGACCAGCGAAAGACGGGATGAAGCCTAAGCTGTTTGAGAGGCGCGGAGGGGTAACAGGAGTGTTTGGCCTCGGAGGGCCTCCTCTGCTCTCTCACTGTGCCCGACTTCAGCATTCCGCCGATCGCCCGCATTTAACGGGCGGGCTTCTCGGGCTGAAGGGGTTTGGAGATCTGCTGGTTGTTACTTTAATGGAATTTTAATGGAATTTTTGCCTTGTTCTTTTTAATCTCAAGAGGCAATATGTTGGAGTTGGGAGGGGACGGAGGGCAAGGTCTTTGGGATGTCATTGTCATTAGGTGCCCTCCAGTCTACCCTAACTTATAGCGATCCTGTGTACGTTAGATTGAAACCACTTTCGTATAAAGTAGAGGGCTGTCAGCACAAACTCGGAGCTGGCGGCGCATCAGTGCAAACCCAAAGGTAATTGGTGATGCTGATAACCCGCCAGTGCAAGGAAACTCCAGATGTATGTTTATTGCCTCTAGGACGTGATGATATTTACCTCGACGTGAAAAAACTAGAGGATAACTGAGTTTTGACGTTCTGAAATCAATACTTCTAACAGGATAAAGATGGTAGAAATTTGGAGACTTAACAGTCGTTGAGGATAAAGTTCAGCTATTGACTGCCCTTAAGGGTATCGTTTTAGTTGAAGATGGCTTCCTGACAAATTTTCGTTGAACACCTACTGAGGACCTTACACAAGAATCCCTCTAGTTCGTTCACACCTGTCAGTCATATATTAGCAAACACTCAACACACATATATCAAGCACTGCGCTAGGCACCAAGATACAAGTAAGACAGAGGGTGGAGTTAATTGCGAGGAATCTTCTGGAAGGAATTGTATTGCTAAAAGTATTAGAGCTTTTGGAATAATGGGAGACTGCCACTTTGTAGCTAGACATGAAATCCAACCCTCATTTTACCATTTGGATGTACCACTTTATGTCCTCACTGTAAACCAGTTTCATCATACAGAAATAATGCAGCGGTCATTTTGAAGAGTAAAAATTATTGTAAGTACTCAAAAAAAAAAAAAAACAACCAAACCAACAAACCACCCAATCCTATTATAATAGTGCAGGTATCATTGTTCTGAGTGCCTTGAGATTGGAAGAGATTTTGAACACAGATTGAAAAGAGAACGATAATAACGTTCTGGGGAAAGTGATGCATGTTCAGTTCTAAATAATGAGGAATTTAAAATAAACTGTAGGGGCAACAATGTTTTTAGGTTTGTGTGAAAATGAGAATCATTTCATGCTGTGATTAAAAGAGGTGAGAGAAAGGCAGTCAGGGTGCAAGCTTTAGAAAGCTCTTAAACCCTGGTGGCATAGTGAATTAAGTACTGAGCTTTTAACAGATTTGAACCTAATTGCTATTTCAAGGGAGAAATAGGAAACAGTTTGCTCTCTTAAACAGTTTTAACCTTGGAGACCGTATGGGACAGTTCTGCTTTGTCTTACAGGGTCCTTTTGAATTGGAATCAAAGGCAGTAGGTGTTTGCATACAAAGAAATATGGGCCTTCATTATTCTGAGTTACAAGGAGCCAGTGAAGGAGCTTAAACAAGCATATAGAGAATGAATTATGTTTTGGGGAAAGTATTAATATTGGTGTTGCAAATGCATGTGAGAACGGATTAGGTAAAGGAAATCAGACTAGGAATCTAGTAGAATGTAATGGAAATAGCCTAAGTGGTGAGCAGTGAGAGCTTGGAATCAGTAAAGGAGTTGTAATGGTTTAGAAAGAAATAGATTTGAAAGTAAAATCCTGAATATTAGATGTTTTGGAGAAGTGAAGAAATAGAGGCAGAGTATACTTAGCTGGCTGGGGAAAACAAGAAATGATTAGGGAAACTAAAAAGATTTTAATTTGATGATGAGAATGACTAACATATTTAAATTTTGCTAGTAAAGAGCCGGTGTGAAGGAAATATCAGTGGTACAGTAGTTTCCTCAAAAGGAGGGAGTGTATAGAATAGAGAACAGTGGTGAAAATATTAGAGGTAAGTCTGTTTTGTTGTTAGAAAAAAAGTGGAGTTGAGGAAATTGACAGGTGAATTACCCCTTCTTCCCTCTCCCCCACCCCAGAGACCCATACTTCAAATGTTGAGACTAGAAGGTTAGGAAATTTAGAAAAAGGAGAACATTTGAAATGGTTGCTGGAAGAGGTAGCTGACCTATAAACACTTGAGAGTTCCTAAACAGCATAGTTTGGCACCAACTCAGAGCTGAGCCTCCAGTGGCTTTTCAGAAGCAGTAAATTACACAGGAAGAGATTATCCATCTTTTTTTCCCACAGAGTAGCTGGTAGATTAGAACCACGTATTTTTGGATTGGCAGTGCAACCCCTTGCCACTAATCCACTAGAGCTCCCAAAACCCATAAGATCTTGGCACACTTGGTCTGTAGTCAGTGGGGAATCCAGAGATTGTCAGTTCAAACCCACACGTACCTTGAAAGCAATATGGTGATCTGCTTCCATAGAGATTACAACTGTCCTTATTCTATATTACAATTGTACATCTAAATGAACCCACAAACAAATGGAAAAGGTAAAAAAATGGAAGACCATGAATTCTTGAAAACCCATATCTGTGGTGATAAGATTTTCTTTTCAATAGTCCACCTTGAGGTTGGTTCTGGGCCATTCCTAGTAAATTATTAATTCCTTGGGATCAGGCTCTGTTTAATAAACATTTCTGTGGCACTAGCGTTGTAGGTAGCACTAGTGGTGTGGTGTGATAACCTGTCAGGCTACTAACCAAAATGGTCAGCAATTTGAATCCACCAGCTGCTCCATCATAGAAAAATGGGCAGTCTCTTCCTGTAAAGATTTAAGCCTCAGAAACCCAATAGAGGGTAGCTTTGAGTCAGAATCAACTGTACAACAGTGAGTTTGATAGTTTTAGGCTTTTTGAGGCACTTACAACATGCGTGGGATATGTTGTTGAGTACTTTCAAGTGGGAACTGACTCATAGCTGACCCTCCGCAGGTTTTCAGAGCCATTTAATCTCACAGGAGGTGACTGCTCATCCTTCTTCTGCAGAGCAGCTAATGAATTCACACCATGTGCCTTCAGGATTACAGCGTGGTTTCTTACCACTAGGCTTGTGCTTCCAATGCAGGGGTACATGGTTTGAATCCACTAGCTTCTCTATGGAAGAAATACGGGCAATCTGTTCTCGTGCTTGTGAAAACTCACTAACCATTGTCAGCTATGGCGATACACTTGCTCTGAGTCTATTACAGCTTGGCAGCACATAATAACAATAAGGTGTACTATTAGAATAAATAGTATAGCCTCATAAGATAGTCTTTAAAAGGTCATTGTCTGGGATATAGAACCTGCTTTATGTTGAATAAATGAATGAAACATGGGCATTTAAGAAGGTGAAGAACTTAAAAAAGATAAAGATTAGCTTAAAGTATACCTGTGCTGATTGAAAATAATAACATTAACTTAAAATTAATAGAAACTGTGTAAATGTTTTATATATTGAAAACATGGAAGGGAAAAAAAGAACTGAAATTTCACAGGCAAAAATAAAGCAAATTTATTTAGACTTAAGCTATTTGGGAAATGCATATTATGATCTTAAAGAAGATGGATTTCAGAGTTCTTGGAAGTTTACGTGGGAGCTCTGGTGGCCTAGTGGTAAGGTAATGATGCCAACCCCAAAGCATGTGGTTCAAATCCACCATCTGCTCCTTGGGAGAATGATGAACAGTCTCCACTGCAATTTACTGCTTCTGACGCCTCCTTGAAGGTCACCTGCTTTGATTCTGACTCAACAGTAACAACCTAAAAAAGTTTACAAGGGTTAGGGTTGTTAAGGGTTGGGGTGCTAACTTATAGGCCAACATCTTTAAATCATCAGCTGCTCCCTGAGAGACAAATGGGGCATCTGATCCCATAAAGATTTACAGTCCAGAAACCCTATGAAGTAGTTCTACTTGGGTCTGTACAGTATAGTCACTGTGAGTTGAAATGGTACAAACTTAAGTATTCATTTAAAATATTGTGTCTTCTGTAATAGCTAGTTTTTGTTATTTTTTAAAATACATCACACTTTAACCCTAATAGAAAAAGGGACATAAAAAAATTCTATTTTTGTAATATTTTAATTTCTCTGACTTACTCTCTCCAAATTCTAACAAACTCCTGGAATTCCCAAAAGCCACTACCATGTTTCCCGTATTAACACTGTTCTTTTCTGTCTTTATAATTTGTAAAATTTTCAGGTCAAGATTTTTTAGTGTGGTATAGTTTAACTTGGAGTGGATATTTGGGGCTCGGTTTTGATTACTTTTTTAATTAGTCAATCATTTTTATTTCTTCTCAAATGTTTATAGTGGAGCTGGACAAGAAGTAGGAAGATCATGTATTATTCTGGAATTCAAAGGAAGAAAAATAATGGTAATTATTTTTTTGTTATCAGGTTATCAGTTTGGCTCTGTGTGCATTGGTTGTTTTAATATAGTCACCAGTTTAACTCCTAGAAAAAGTCTGTAGTCAGTGCATATAAAGTGTGCTCTATAAAATTAATGTGAAAAACTTACCAAATTCCTGTGCATTAACTTGCCAAAGCATTCAGTAAACTGAGAAAAACCAAAATTCCAAGACTATAATATTATCTGCTTAACAGTTGTTTCTTTAAAGACAGTCTTCTACTGTAGAAGAGTCTAGTCAACCTGACCACCCAAAATCCAATGGAAGAGGAAGACTTTGGACTGACAGCCCCAAAAACATACAGAATACCAGGCACTCCTGTACATTAGAGGGAGAACCCAGATACTTAAAAATCATTATGAACCATGACTCAAATGCTAAGCTTATTTCCTTATCTGAATGGTAGAAAGATTAGATGATTTCTAAGATCCTTATTTGGGTTGGTGTTCTTCAACAAGAAGATCCTCATTAGTAACTATATTATTAGTAATTAGATTATACTCATTCCAGTCCTTTACTTCGCCCAGTCTTAAAACCGTATATTGTATTAATTTGGTAGTAACGACATGTAAAATGAATAAATTCTGTGTGTGTGTGTGTGTGTGTGTGTGTGTGTGTTTGTGTACACATCAAATCGGACCTGACTGGACAGGAGGAGATTGTCCCTCCCTCTCCAGCAGAGCATCTGGTGGATTTGAACCACTTAACTATGGGATTGCAATGCAGCCTCTTGCCACTAGGCCACCAGAGCTCCAAAATAGAAAATTCTTAATGATTGCCTTAATAAATTGTTTCCTACTAAAAATAAATTAAAAAAATGTTTCCTAATACTTTAAAATATTTAAATTATCCCAATCAGGAGCTTCTAATGCTAATTTGAATAATTTACATTTTAATAATTTAACATAGCATTAACTCATATTTAATTGCTAGTTCTTGGAATTGTTTTGTCATAGTAGTCAGATCTGGTAATAGTTAACCTATAAACTTTTAGAGTACTTATCATCTTCTAATATGAAAAACTTGAAGAAGAGTTCATTCATTGTTAGAGTGCTTGGCAAAAGAAGCTAAAAAGAAGAGTTTTGTATTTGTATCCTGTGTATTCTGTGACCTCAAATATGAATAAATAAATTTGGGGAGTTATAATTATCAGTGCATTTATGCTACATTTAATAAATGTGTTAAATGCTGATGTGTGAAATAATATCTTTTGAGTATGCTAGATGAGTTATTATCTGTTTATTTAATATATTGTAATAAAATGTGCAGTAAGCTATATATACTTTTCCCTGTTCCTTTTAGTTGGATTGTGGGATCCACCCTGGCCTAGAAGGAATGGATGCTCTTCCTTACATTGATTTAATTGACCCTGCTGAGATTGATCTCCTATTAATTAGTCAGTAAGTTTTTTTTCTGTAATAGTAACACTGTTTCAAAGACTATTCAGAGAAAAATTATTCCTTAATAAATTTCAAAATTTTTATTTTTTTTTTAAAGGAGTATCTTATACTAGGAAGCATATTTACAAACATCTAAGTGAACAGTCCAAATCTTCGTAACAATTTACTATGAAACTTTATTTGCCTACCTCTAGATGTGAGCTATAGTGGCTGAGTGAATAATATGTTGGGCTGCTAACCAAAAGGGCAGCAGTTCAAATCTACTATCTTGTTCTGTGGGAGAAAAATGGATATTCTCCTTACATAAAGATTTTCAGCCTTGGAACCTAATGAGGGTCACTGTGACTCAGTAGAATCAGTGGCAGTGGGGTTTGAGTAGATAGATGTTTATCCATTTCAGAAAACGGCATATGATCAAGAACTAGTATTAAAGGAAGACATTCACTCCACTGAAGGATTAGTGAAAAACGAGTCTTCAGGAATTGACAACTGGTTAACTGAGATATTCAGCTAATGAATGGAGCATAGTTAGCACTCACTCATCAGTGTGAAAAATGTGGAAGATAGTTTCCTGGCTAACTCCCTGGAAGAGATCTATATCTGTGCCCATTCCAAAGAAAGATGATCAGAATGCAGAAAGAATTTCTAAAGAATGAATGCAGAAATTAGTAAATAATATCATTAATAGCATATGCAAGTAAAATTTTGCTAAACATAATTCAAAAGTGGTTGCAATAATCCATGAGCAGAGAACTACTGGAAATTTTAGTGACCAGATTAAGAAGAATACGCAGAAAGATATCATATTATCATAGGTGTTGGCTGAAAGCAGAGGCTACTAGAAAGATATTTATCTATATTTTTACTCACTTTGCAAAGGCAGAAAGATACCATATTATCATAGGTGTTGGCTGAAAGCAGAGGATACCAGAAAGATATTTATCTATATTTTTATTCACTTTGCAAAGGCATTGGACTGTGTGAATGATAGTAAGTTATGGATAGGATTAAGAACAGTGGCAACTATAGAACACTTAATTGTGCTCATGAGGACCCTGATCACAAGCTAAGAAGCAGTCATTCAAACAGAATAAGGAAATACTTCCTGGATTAAGTTAGAAAAAGTATGCATCAAAGTTGTATCGTTTCACTATATGCATTCCGTCTCTGTGCTGAGCAAATAATCCAAGAAGCTAGACTATATAAAGAAGATGTCATCAGGTGTGGAGGAAGACTCATTTACAACCTTGCTTGCTGAAAGCAAAGAGGACTTGAAGCATTTACTGATGAAGATCAAAGATTTTAGAATGGGTTATACCTCAGCATGAAGAAAACAAAAGTTGTCACAGTTGTGTCAGTAAGCAGCATCATGATAAACAGAAAATAGTTAAGTTGTCAAAGATTTCCTTTTATTTGCATCCACAGTCAACCTTATGGAAACAGCAGTCAGAAATCAAATAGCATATTGCATTGGGCAAATCTGGTGCAAAAGACGACTTTAAATTGTTAAAAAGCAAAGGTGCCACTTTGAGGAATAAGAGGTGCCTGACCCAAACCATAGTAGTTTGATTGCTTTACATGCATGTGAAAGGGGGACAGTGGCATGAAGAATGAGTGACTAAAGAAGAATTGATACTTTTGAAATGTAGTGATGGCAAAGAATATTGATGCTTCTTAGAAGGGCTGATGATGGAATTTTGTCTCTCGCAGTTTGGATATTCATCAAGAGGGGCCATTCCCTGGAGAAGGACATCATACTTGGTAGAGAGTGTAAAATAGGAACATCCTCAGCAAAATAGATTGACAGAACGGCTTCAAGAGTAGGCCCGGATATGCCAACAATTTTAAGAATGGTGCAAGACTAGACAGTGCTTTGTTCTGTTGTACAAAGTAATTGCTATGTGTGAGAACTGACTTGATAGCCTATAATAATGACAGGTGTGAGTCCAGTGGATAAGTGGAAAGGGGGTGGTACATACTTGGATCATTGTAGTAATTGAGACTAAGAAAACCTCACAGAATTTCTCCTTGAGGTCACTATCTCTTAGTTCCTCTATAGAAACTGTTGTATAAATGTTTCATTTTTATCTAGCTGAAATGATTTTTGTAATTTTGACTGCAAAAAGAGTAGGTTTGAGTATGTTCTAGTTTCTGTAATTACTGATAGAATTTTTTGTCATTTAGAAATATATTGCTTAAATCTTTTTCCTAAACTCAAATTAGATGTTTCCTTTCTCTCTCTTCATCTTTATTTACTCTTGGTGTTTTGAAAGTTATCCAAGGTAATTGTTACATAGGACCTCTTGTCCCAAGAGTATTTGATGAGTAATACCAAATTTGACAAAATCTCTTCTTTTAAGTTTCCATTTGGATCACTGTGGAGCTTTGCCTTGGTTTCTACAGAAGACAAGTTTCAAAGGAAGGACTTTTATGACTCATGCAACAAAAGCTATTTACAGATGGCTTCTTTCAGATTATGTCAAAGTTAGGTAAGTTGCTATATTACATTTACATATGTATAGTTATACATGATATGTATAAGTTAGATATACTCCCTTTTGTGTTTTGAAGAGAAACATGGTCTTTTCTTTCATGAAGATGTCAGTAAGTTAGCCAGTCAATAACAAGTCACTGAAAGTCTGTGGTGTACCTAACACTTTGTTGACCTTAGATATTGCATCATTTGTAGGTCTTTTGTAAAGTTTTGTAACTTAACTGAGTTATAATGTAGAAAAACCCTGTAAGTAACATTGCTAATTTTATTAAAATTTAAAACAAATAAATTACACAGTGATAAATATGGATTTCTTTTTTTGGTTATTTGATTGAAGAAATTGACTAGCTCAATTGAAACAAGTTTATATGAGTTATAAAAACCCTGTACCAGAAAGAATTATGCAATAGCTACAATGCAAATTATTACCTTCTAAAAGTGTATGGAGCATTTTCACAATGGGTTTGTCCTCAGAATACAGGTGTTGGTGAATACCTAAGCCAGAATCTAAGCCAAAATGGTAAAGGAGAAGACCATATAGTTTCAGGCAATTCCACTACTACTGGCAATCAGGTGATCTACATGGGTGGTGAGATCAACACAATAACCATTAAGAAATTCTAGAAAGAGCTGCTGAGATGGGAAAGAGCTCCTTCAAATATGCCTGGGTTTTGGATAAACTGAAAGCTAAGTGTGAGTGTGGCATTACCATTGATATCTCCTTGTTAACATTTGAGACCAGAAAGTACTATGTGACCATCATTGATGCCCCAGGACACAGAGACTTTATCAAAACTGTGATTACAGGAACATCACAGACTGACTATGCCATCCTGTTGTTACTGAATTTGAGGCTAGTATCTCAAAAATGAACAGACCAATGGGCAGGCCATTCTGGCTTACAGAGTTGGTGTGAAACAACTAATTGTTGGTGTTAAAAAATGAGTTCCACTGAGATACCGTACACCCAGAAGAGATAGGAGGAAATACTTTAGAAAGTCAGCACCTACATACATCAAGAAAATCAACTACAACCCTTACACTATAATCTTTGTGCCAATTTCTGCTTAAAATTGTGACCACATGTTATAGCCAAGTGCTGACATACCTTGGTTCAAGGGATGGTCACTCGGAAGGATGGCGGTGCCAGTGGAACCGTACTGCTTGAAGCTTTGGGTTCCATCCTGCCACCAACTCATCCAACAGACAAGCTCCTGTGACTGCTCCTCCAGGATATCTACAAGACTGGTGGTATTGGCGTTGTCCTTTTGAGCAGAGTGGAGGCTGGTGTTCTCAGGCAAAGCCTGGTGGTCACATTTGCCCATGCACTCCATAAATGAGATAGTTATAGAAAGGCTTCAGACCTTTTGTTCATAGGGTTGCTATGAGTCATGCTTGACAGCAATCAACAGCTGTTACCACTAAAGTAAATGCTGTTAAAATACACCATGAGGCTTTGAGTGAAGCACTGCCCAGTGACAGTGGGGCTTCAATATTAAAGAACATCTCAGTGAAAGATGTTTGGTATAGCTGATAACAGCAGAAATGACCCACCAGTGGGAACAGCTGGCTTCATTGCTCAGGTGATCATTCTAAACCCTCCTGGGCAAATCAGTGCTGGTTTTGCACCTGTGCTGAATTGTCACCCAGCTTGAATTACTTGCAAGTTTGCTGAACTCAAAGAGGAGACTAATTGCAATTCTGGTAAGCAGCTGGAAGATCGCCCCAAATTCTTGGAAGCTTGGTGATTCTGTCGTTGTTGATGTGGTTCCTGGCAAGCCCATGTATGTGGAGAACTTCTCTGACTACTCTGGGTCATTCTGCGATCTGTGACATGAGACAGACTGTTGCGGTGAATGTCATCAAAGCAGTGGACAGAAAAGCTGCTGGAGCTGGCAAGACCACCAAATCTACTCAGAAAGCTTAGAAGGCTAAATAAATATCACCTATAACACTTGAAACCCCAGTCTTAATCAGTGGTGGAAGAATGGTCTCAGAACTTTTTATCCCAGTTGGCCATTTAAGTTTAACAGTAAAAGACTAGTTAATGATAACTATGTATCATAACACCCTCAGAAGGAAAGGAATGTTTTCTGGACCATTTGTGTGGTGGGTTTTTTTTTTTCATGTGGTAGTTTTACATTACTAGTTTTGAAAATTAGTACTTTTTAAATACAAACAACTTGACCAAAAATTTGTCTCAGAATTTTGAAACTCATTAAAACAAAGCTTAATGAGAAAAAGGGGGAAAAGTGTATGGGATATCTAAGATGGAATTTGGTGTTCATCATATGTAGTGGTGACCTAGTGGTAAGGAGGGGAGCTGCCGGCTGGAACACTTAGGTCAAATCCACCAGCTGCTCCATCGGAGAAAGATGGGTGCCCTCCTCCTGTGCAATTTAATGACTCTGAAAACCCACTTGAGGGTCAATAATGAGTCTCTTTCAACTCTATGGTACTCAACAACAACATATTTAAATGCAAAGGAGAAGAGTAACCCTTATTCTTAGTAATAATATCATTTGTTAATACTTAAATAATGCTTAGCACATTCCAGGGACAATCATCGATTCCTAACATATTAATATTAACTAGTTTAAACTACACACCAAGTTCATGATACAGATTCTTTTATATACCTTGTTTTATTTATGATGAGGCTGAGAGAAATTAGGCAGTCTATCTCAGATATTATACTGATAAGAGACAGCTGGGATTTAAATCTAAGAACTGACTCCCAAGAATCTTATGTCATTAGCTACTGATCTGTATTTTTTTCTTATCACATGATAATGATTTTCTGGGGGGAAATTAGAATAGACTTTGTGAAGAAATTTTGTGTTCCAACATGACAGTCAGTTGTGGTTCAGTGTATGTGAGTGAATACCTCTCTGAAGGCTCTTGGGGCAGAGGAAACAGTGCACAATCTCTAAAGTACTTTGAGTTAAATGTCTTCATTTACTGTGTGCTTTGCTTAAAATCAAGCTGCTTGCCTATGTAACTAGATTTTTTTTTTTCATTTTTATCTTATATTGGTTTGCATAAAAATTCCTATACATTGTGTTTCACACTTTGCTTCATTCACATTGTGTTTCATGTAGTCATTCCCATACATTGTTGTTGTTGTTATGTGCCGTCAAGTCGCTTGTGACTCATAGTGACCCTATGTACAAGAGCCCTAAACCCTGCTCTATGCTGTTTCAACCTTACTGTCTCTAACACACTTACCCCCATTACCCCAGTTGCTAAATCAGTCCATCTCATTGAGGGTCTTCCTCTCTTGTGCTATCCCTCCAACCTCCCAAACATGATGTCCCTCTCCAAGGGCCAATCCCTCCTTTTAACATGTCTGAAGTATATCTGATGACGTGTCAGAATCCTTACCTCCAAGAAGCAGCCTGATTTCACCTTCTCCGAGACAAACCTGTTTGTTCTCCTAGCAGTCATTGGTATATTTAATGCTCTTCTCCAGCACCATAGCTCAAAGACACCAATTCTCGTTCTGTCATCCCTAGGCATTGTCTGACACATAGCAAGTGATTGCAAAGACTGTGGCCTGGATCAGGCACACCTTGATCTCCAGACTAACGTCCCATACATTACATTTTATAAAATTAATCACCGTTTAACTCTGCCCCCCATTACCCAGTCTTTTCAGGTCCTCACTGGATCTTTCCCATTTCCATTACCCCCTCCCGCCACCCACCAAATTATGTGACCCATGATATTCCCTACTGCGCATCCTCACCTCCCCACCTTAAATCCTCATACACATTTTAGTAGTTATCTTTCTGGTTTTCAGTAATGAACTTACACAGTATTTGTCCTTGCTGTTGTTAATTACTGCCAAGTTGAGCATGACTCCTAGTGAACCTATAAATATAAGGCCTGAAGTCTTTCTATAACATATCGTATGAGACCGAATTAATTCCTCAGTATAATGTTCACCAGTCTCTTCCAAGTTGTGTAGTATTTTTTAAGCTCATTGCTCCTGAGTGATTTGTAGTATTTCATCCTGTGAATGTACCACAGTTTCTCAGTCCATTCAGTTGTGGTTGGGTGTTTAGGCTGTTTCCATGTTCTTGTGATGGTAAATAATGCGGCTATGAACATTAGTGTACAAATCTCTATTTGTGTCTGAGTTCTAATTTTCATGGGTTAAAATGGATAAGCGAGTGTGTCAAGATTGTATTCTCTCTCCATAACTGTTCAATCTATATTCTGAGCAAATTATTTGAGAAGCTGGACCCAATGAAGAGGAGTATGGCATCAATAACCTGCATTATCCAGAAGACAAAACCTTGCTTGCTGAAAGGGAGGAGGACATGAAGCACTTGTTGTAGAAGATCAAGGAATGCAGCCTTCAGTATGGATTGCATCTCAATATCAAGAAAATAAAGATTCTTACCACTGGATCAATAGGCAGCATCATGATGCATGGAGAAGAGAGTGAAACAGTCAACAGCTTCATCTTGCTTGGATCCACAATTAACACCATTGGTACCAGCAGTCAGGAAATAAGGAGGCACATTGCACTGGGAAAATCTGCAATTAGGTACCTCTCCAAATTATTGAGGAGTAATGATGTCAGTTTGAGGACTAAGGTACGTCTAATTCAGGCCATTCTCCTTCCAGTTACTTGGTATGCATCTGAGAGCTGGACAGTGACAAAAGATAACAGAAAAATAATTGATGCCTTTAAGCTTTGGTGTTGGAGAAGAGCACTGAACATCCCATGGACAGACAAAAGAACAGACAGGTAGTCTTGGAGAAGGGTGCAACTGGACTGCTCTTTGGAGGCAAGAACGATGAGGCTTCACCTCACATACTTTGGACATGTTGCTAGGAGTGGCTATTCCTTGGAGAAGGACATGGTACTGGCAAGGCTGGAGGGTTGGCAAAGGAGAGGAAGACCCTCAGCTAGGTGGATTGACACAGTGACTGCTGTGATGGGCTCTTGGTATCAGAAAGTGTGAGGATGACACAGGATAGAACAGGGTTCAGATCTGTTGTTCATAGGGTCACTGTGAGTCTTACTTGATTCAACAGCACCAAACAACAACAAACAGCATATTCCTAGAAGTGGAATAGCTGGGTCCTATGGAGTTTCTATGTTCAGTTTTTTGAGGAAACACCATAATACCTTCCAGAGTGACTACCATTTTATGCTCCCACCAATAGTGTATGAGAGTCCCAGTGTCTTCACATCTTCTCCAATATTTATTGCTTGCTGTCCTGTTAAACTTTGCCACTGCTACTAGGTTGAGATGGTATCTCATTGTGAATTTGATTTGCATCTGTCTAATGGCCAGTGATTTTGAGCATATTTTCATGTGTCTGTTGGCCATCTGAATATCTTCCTCTGTGAAAAGTCTTTCCATGTCTTTTGCCCATTTTGTAGTTGGCTGTCAGTCTTTTTCTTGTGGAGGCCCTGTAATATTCAGTAAACTTTTATTATGAGACCTTTGCCTGAAATGGTATTGCCAAATGTTTATTCCATAGGGTTTCGTTTCACCCTGTTGGAAAAAGTTTTTGATGTGCACAGCGCTTTAATCTCTAGAAGGTCCCATTCATCAATTTTATCCTCACCTGGTTGTACATTTCTGGATGTAATTGTCAAACTCTTTATACTATAGGCCTTCTAAGCATGGTCCCATTTTGTCTGTTAATGATCCTTATGGTTTTGAGCTTTACTCCCAGGCCTCTGATACACCTTGAGTTGATTTTTGCATATGGTGTGAGGTGTATGTAGATCCTGTTTCAACTTTCTGCAGGTAGCTGTCCAGTTTTACCAGCACCATTTGTTGAAGAGGTTGTCATCTCTCCATTTGATAGGTTTGTTTCCTTGTCAAATATCAGTTGCTCATAGATAGGTCTAATTCTGGATTCTCTTGCATTGGTCAGTATGCCTGTCATTGTACCGTGCTGTTTTGGTTATTACAGCTGTGTTGTAGGTTTTAAGATCAGAGAGTGCTATGCTCCTATTACATTTTTATTTTTCAGAAGTGCTTTGTTTATTCAGGGTCTCTTTCCTCTCTAAATAAACTTGATAATTGTCTTTTCAATCTCATTGAGAAATGAATATGATACTGGTTTTGGGATAACATTAAACATGTGATTGCTTTCGGTAGGACTGTCATTTTCACTATATTGAGTCTTCCTGTCCATGAACAGGGAATATTTTTCCATTTATTTAAGTCTTTTATTTTATTTCTTGCAGAAATGTTTTGTAGTTTTCTTTGTAAAGGTCTTTTGTGTGTCTAGCTAAGTTTATTCCTGAATATCTCAATTTGTGGTTGGCTCTTGTAAATGTTATTGGTTTCACTCTCTGTGTTTTCTTTGTTACTGTAGAAGAATCTCACTTACTTTTATATGATTTTGTATCCTATTACTCTACTAAATTGATCCTCTACCTCTGACAGTTTTTCATTGAGCCCTTGAGGTTTTCTGTGTACACTATCATATCATCTGTATATAGCAAGTTTAACTACCTCTGTGCCTATCTGAATGTCTTTTATTTCCTTTTCTTGTATTTCCCTAGAAGTACTTACAATAATATAGTATTGACTAGGAGTGGTGAAAGTAGACATCCTTGTCTGGTCCCTAGTCACATGAAGATTGCTTTGAGTCTTTCTTCCTTGTGAATTATATTGGCTCTTGGTTTTATGTATATACATTTCACTATGTTGAGGAAATTCCCTTCTCTTCCTATTTTTCTGAGTATTTTAGGCAGGAAGGGACATTGGATTTTGTCGAGTGCCTTTTCTGCATCAATTGCTAGAATCACGTGGTTCTTGTTATACTGAAAAGTATCCAAAACCAGTTGGCTGTTTCAGCAGAGGAATGCCAGATGTGCAAGCTGGGTTTAGTACTAGGGATATTATAGTTAGTGTTAGAGATGGATCTTGGCTGAAAGCAGAGAGTACAAGAGTAATATCTGTCTGTGTTTCATTGACCATGCAAAATCATTTGACAGTGTGGATCATAATAAACTGTGGCTAACTCTGAGAAGAATGGGAATCCCAGAACAACTGGTTTTGTTTATGCCAAACCTGTACTTGAACCAGGAGACAGTCTTCAGAACAGAGCAAGGATACACTATATGGTTCAAAATCACAAAAGGTGTATGCCAAGAATATATCCTATCTCCATACTTTTTCAGTCTATATGGAGAACAGATCATATCTGGGAGGCTGGGCTCTATGAGGAGGATTGAGGAGGATTGTGGCGTCATGATTGGAGGAAGACTTAACAACCTGTACTATGCAGATGACACATCCATCCTTGCTTAAACTAAGACCTGAAGTACTTGCTACAGACGGTCAAGGACTGCAGTGTTATGTATGAATTGAAGCTCAACATCAAGAAAACATAGAGTCTCACAACTGTACTGATTGGTAGCATCATGATAGATGGTAAAGAAACTGAGATTGTTAACAGCTTCAGTTTGCTTGGCTCCATAATCAGCATTCTTGATACCAGCAGCCAGGAAATCAAAAGACAAATTGCATTGGGGAAAGTCTGTTGTCAGGGACCACTGCAGAGTACTAAAGAGCAATGATGTCAGTCTGGAGACTAAGGTGTGCTGGATCCAGGCCATAGTCTTCATAATTACTTGCTATGCATCTGAAGGCTAGACAGTGACTAGGAATGACAGAAGGAGAATTGATGCCTTTGAGAAAAGTCAGATATACCATGGACTGCTAGGAGAACAAACAGATTTGTCCTGGAGAGGGTGAAACCAGGCAGTTCTTTAGAGGCAAGGATTCTGAAGCTCCGTCTGACATACTTAAGGCATATTGCAAGAACTGACCAGTCTTTGGAGAGGGACATCATGCTTGGAAGGGTGAAGGGACAGCGAAGGAAGACCCTCAATGAGAAGGATTGATTGGTTCAGTGACTGGGCTAATGAAAGTAGATGTGTCAGAGACAGTAAGGTTGGCACAAGATAGATCAGGGTTAAGAGCTGTTATACACGCAGGGTTAAGAGCTGTTATACATACAGTCGCTATGAGTTCCAAGTGACTGGGCACATAACAATTTTATTAATTATGTTGATTGTTTTTCTTATGTTGAACCATCTTTGCATACCTATTATGAATCCCACTTGTTCATGTTGAATTTTGTTTTTGATGTGCTGTTGAATTCTCTTGGCCAGGATTTGTTAATGATTTCTTACATCTTTTTTGCGGAGAATTATTGGTACTGAAGATATTTTATTATAATTACAGAATAAAAGAAATATAAAATGTCCAAGCTTTTAAATAAGTGCTTACTATATTTATAAGCAATATCTTGTTTTTTGAATATACAAATTCTTAAAAGAATTTTATAAAAATATATCAGCCTGATTGATTTTATTGTCATATTTCAAAATTCAGTAATATATCAGCGGACGACATGCTGTATACGGAGACAGATTTGGAAGAGAGCATGGACAAAATTGAAACTATCAATTTTCACGAAGTTAAAGAAGTTGCCGGAATCAAGTTTTGGTGTTATCATGCAGGCCATGTTCTAGGAGCTGCCATGTTCATGATTGAGATTGCAGGCGTGAAGGTACTCTCTAAGTGGCAATTCTTCCCCCAGAAAATAAAAGTGCAGAGTTATCACTGCACTTAATATCACCAACTATTATTAAAGGAAGTTTCCTGAGACTTAACAAAGTGTCAAAACTGAAACATGAACTAAGAAACAAATTTATATTTTATACTTAATATATCACTTGTAATATTTTATATTTCTGCATTAATTTACTATAGTAAACTGAATAAACAGTTATTGAGTTAAAGTTCGTACTAAAAAAGAGCAAAGTAAGCATCCCAAAGAGGAAGTTGCGGAAACTACCACTAGGCTTAGCCCTTTTTAGTGTCTTTTAGAAAGCTAGTAATAGGGAGAATTGTCTTTGTGACTTTGCCTGTTTAAAGTTGAGACATAATTTGGCATTCTCTACCCTTTGAAATCCTAAAGTTCATATGTAAATCTCTCTAGAAGATGCATAAGGAAAGGGAATCAATTAGAAAGGGTATTTGCAGCCTTTCTTAATGGGTAAGACTAATGGAAATCTTGCTGAGCTTGTGAAACCCTGGGCACATTACTGTGCTTTCTCATAAATAACACACGCACAAAAATAGTACATGCATGCATGTATAGCACATAGCGTAGCTCACTCATGGAAATAGCCTAATGATGTAAGCAAGTCTTTTTTTCTTAATACATTTCCGAATGATAGAAGATTAATATATTCACTATCAAAATGCAGTTTTCCAAAATTCTAATTAACTAACTATCTCCCCTAATATTTTCCCTCCAGCTTTTGTACACTGGTGATTTCTCAAGACAAGAAGATAGACACTTAATGGCAGCTGAAATTCCTAATATTAAGCCTGATATTCTTATTATTGTAAGTATCAACTTTCTGCATTATAATTATAATAATGTAATCAAATATTTTTCTACAGGAAAGATCTCACTTTTATAAAATTTTATTATATGTAATTATATCTCCTTTTTTAGTATATTTATTTTGAGGTTTCCCTGTGATGTACAGACCATTTTCTTAATGTTAAATGTATTAATTCTGGTGTTAATAGTACCACCTTCCTCCACAAAAAATGCTGGGCTAGGGCAAACCATTTCACAATGAATGTGTTTTTTCTTTGAGTTCTAAATGGTTTTTGTCTAGATGCAGATTGAAAATTCATGAAAGCCCTACTTAAGAGATATGTACAAATGGTGTGGTTCCACTGTCTTAGCCATGTGGACGATCTTTGACTCTTAGCACATGCTAACTTATTTTATTGTTTATTTTTGTAACTATACTCTGCCTGCCTAAGTTATGAGTTTCAGAGTAACAAGAAAAATAACTGTGTACCAAAACTCTTTTTAGAGGTGTGGGGAAATGTAAGCAATGAGTAATAAATGTACATTGGCTAACAGTAGGATCAAGAATTGGGAGAGAAATCGTTTGGACCTCTGGTATGTACAAAAACAGTCATATATTCCAGGAAGAAGAGCTGTCTGCTTTTCTCTTACCACCTACAGCATCCCCCTTCAGCGGCCTGAGAATGAGGAGCCAATACTTTTTGCTGATTATACATAACGTGTGTGCTTGAATTAAATTTGCTTTAGGTACATAGGCTGTATAGATTGACTGTAACTCAGTGAAGGAAAAGTTTCTTTTTCTAATCCTCAGGAAAAAAGTCTGTTTGGATGTTATCTGGTACTTTTGAGCAGTGTTTATCAAACCTCAACCTGTATATGAATCATCTAGTGATAACTGTGAGCCAGCAAGTTCTAATGCAGTGAGGGGCCTAAGATACTGTATTAATCCCCTCTGGTGTCAGTGCATGTCTTAAATAGAAGTGTAGGAAATAATACCCTTTTTCCCCCCACCTCTGTGAAAATCAAAATAGTTTCAAAAGACTTGAGGAAATATATCAACATACTTTTTTTTCTTTTTCAATTTGTATTCATTTATTGTTGCAGATTTTTCTTCATCCACCTTTAGTCCCTGTCCTCCAGCCCACTTTGTAATACCTCTCTTGTTCCTGGTTGTTGTCATACATAATACATATAATGCCCAATCATATATTCCTTTTTTATTTTGAATGATTTCCATTTTCTGAAAGATTTTTTTTTTACTTACTAGATCTAAAGTCTAAGGTTCTCCTTTATTTTTCTTTCCTGATACTAAAGTTATAATAATATGTGTTTAGGAAAATAGCATCGTAATGAAGAAGTGAAGCCCTTTACTTCATCACTGACATTTATTTAAACTCTTCAGGGACTGACTCATAGTCTTTGTTTCACACTTAATATGTTATTTAGGAATCTACTTATGGGACCCATATCCATGAGAAGCGTGAAGAACGAGAAGCAAGATTCTGTAATACTGTCCATGATATTGTAAATAGAGGGGGCAGGGGTCTCATTCCTGTATTTGCGCTTGGAAGGGCCCAGGAGCTTCTTTTAATTTTAGGTATGTGTTTTTATTTCTTTCTTTTCTTCTCAAATTACATTGTATCAAAATAACACATGACTTTGGATATAACTTGTTCACTATCTGGATTTCAGGGGGTTTTGTGTGTATGTGTTTTTAATTTGGCAGTAGGAGTTGGTGCTAGTAAAAGCCCAGAGAAACAACCACTCTCATGGGCCACTATTGGAAAGGTAAACTGGCATACCTGCCAATCACAATCAGAAGTCTTGAAAATATGCACACCTATGACAACTAAGATATACCTAAAATTTTGTTATAAGAAAATCTATCTTGTAACAATGAATGATTGGAAACCTAAGTCTCTGTAAACTTTCATTAAAATTAATTTTAAAAAAAAGGAAAGAAAATCTATCACTTAATACTTTAAAAAAAAATTGTAAAAATATACTGTAGGAAAAAAGATCACATTAGAGATGAGTAAGTACTTACTTTCACTTTAATTAAAAAAAAAAAAAAAGACTTAAACTAATGTGTGTATTCGTACCTAAACCAGAAATCCAAATTGACTGTTGTCAAGTCCGTGCTACATCAGGTTTCCTGCCTCTCCATCAGGTTTCCTAGCTGTAAACCTTTGCCAGAGGAGACCGCCCATCTTTCTACTTTAGAGCATCTAGTGAATTTAAATTACCGACTTTAGTTAGCAGTCCAACATGGCACACATTGATAATAAAATTCCTTTATTACCCTTATTCTCTAAAAATAGTCACATGACTGGAAAGACGTGTAGTAGGATACTGAATATGTTTTGATTTATGTTTTCTCCATTTCCCAAGAACCTCAATAAACTTTTTCTTTGAGGTTTCATGTAATTTATTGTAAAGCACAAAACAGGCATTTTAAAAGTGAAAGTATACATTGAAAAAGTACATTTGTATCACAAAGCATTGACCACATAATAGTTGCAAATACATTTGCTGGAATGTGTACACCTACACTAAATATTAAAAACAAACCAATTTTCATTTCTACACAGAAATATTAACCTCCTATCAGTAGTGATAGTTAATTTTGTACATTTTCAAAAAAAGAAAGAAAGAAAACGGTATTTTTAAACCAAAACCAAAATTAAGATCTTCATCAAGTCATCTGCATCCATATATTTATTTAACAAAAGGTTTTTTCCCCCCACACAATGAAGCAAACACTGTATTGCCGGCTTCTTATTATTGGCCCTGTGCAGAAGAGATACATAAGAAATACCCAGAAAATTAAAGAAAATCCTTTAAATGGAGTTAACTCAGGAGTGAATCCTTTAAGAAAGGAAAACTGGTTCATGTAAGTGGTGGAGGCTTCTTGCAAGATTTTCAAATCCTTCGGTGCTGGAGGATGCTGTGGCATTCCCTGTGGACTTGTCTGAGCATAGTAAGCTACTTGTTGTTTATAGTGCTCAGCCCAGGCTGCACTATAATCTGGCTGACCACGTGGTGGGGCCCCAGTAGGAGCAGGAACTGCTTGACCTTGCTTCTTGTAATATTCCTCCCAAGCCTTTGAATAATCTTGTGTCTCCCCTTGTTGACCCATCTTCTTGTAGTATTCTTCCCAAGCTTTAGTATAATCAACATGTCCAGCTGGGGCTGGATTTTGCTGATCTCCTTGCCCATTAGTTTTAGTTGTAGTTGGTGCACCTGCAGGAGCTGCAGGTGGTGGCTGTGCTTGCTCTTGATAATAGTGAGCATAGTAAGCTCATAGCAGCCCAAGCTGCTGAATTCAGATGTGTTCCTGCCTTAGCTGGATCTGAAGGAGCTTGCTGCCACCAGGGTGGATAAGCATTTACCCTCCGCTGGGGAGCATATGGAGCTGGAGGTCCATGAGGAGCAGGACCAGGTGGTCCTGGATTATAAGGTGCAGGATTGTATGGTCCCATTGGAGTTCCTGGTCCTAGAGGCTCAGGAAGTCCATGAGGGCCTGGGACACCATGAGGCCCATGGGGGACAGGTGGCCCTAAAGGATTTACTGGGCCACCAATCTTCTTTGAGTTGCCATGCGTAGTTTATTTGCTGTGAAGTGCCACGAATTGTAAAAAACTTCATATTAGGATCTGCATTTGGTGGAGGATTTCTATGAAGTTCAATTCTTACACCAGACCATTGGCTTATTTTTTTAATAGTTTCACCTTCTTTTCCTATTATCAATCCAGTTTTCCCAATTGGCACAATGAAATTCAATTCCTGTAGACCACCAGGTGGTCCCAGGTTCCAGTTCCCTTGCCCTCGCCCTCGCCCACCAGGTCCAGGTCCACCAGGATTACCAACCTGAACACTTCGAAGGAAGTCTGTAATAATTTCTGCAGCATGCTGACATCGGTCTAGAGGTCCTGTTATTTGTGCTGTTCTGTCAGGTGTTGTTCCATCATCTGGTTTAAACTGAATTCGAACACCAGCATCATTTTGTATTTTTTTAATCATCTCTCCATTTCTTCCTATTACAATTCTTACAGCAAATCTTGGAATGGGAACATCTATTCCTTTATTTCCTCCCATTCTTGACCCATATTCATTTCTAACTTCTCTGAAACCACCTTAATCATGAATTAACTCTTAATACAATTTCCATGAACTTTGTATAGGTCTCTTGTAATCCTAAGAGGTTTGTCAGCACCAGTGTTCTGAGGCCCATCTTGAATCATAACCATTTTAACTCCAGCCCGCTCCTGAAGTTGTTTAGTAGTGTCTCCTCCTTTCCCAGTAACTAATCCTGCCTTGCTCACTGGAATCATAATTTCTTGAACTGCATTTCCTGGTTCATCACCATGAGGAAAGCCAGGGGCTAGTCTTCCTTTTTTCAACAATCTGGTCCAATAATTGCTTTGCTGATTGAACAGACTCAGGAGTTCCACTTAACATACAGGATCTTTCTGGAAGGCCACCACTATCAGGAGTGATCTGTATTTTGCATCCTGATTCCTGTTGTATCTGTGAAATCTGTTTGCCTCCTCGTCTTATAATGAATCCAGCCATTCCATCAAGAACTTTATATTCTTCTGTCATTACAGACTTTTGCTGCTGATGCATTGGTGGTAATTGTGCTCCAAAGAATCATTTTGAGGAGTAACTTTTTTAGCATCTGGTTGATCTCCATCTTCTAAAGATCTTTTTTGTCCCCCGTAACCATAGTCATTTGAATTCAGTGATGTGCCAGCATCGCCTCCAGTTTTTGCTGCAATCTGCCGGGCTCTCTGTAGCACATCTTTAAAAGCATCGTTGATTCCCCATCCCCCTGCCACCACTACCACCAGCTGGGCCCAAGGAAGGTGGAGGTACTGTTAAGTAGTCTGCCAGTTAGCCTACAGCGGCCGTTGCTCTTTCCTCGCAGAGACTTCCTCTCCTAAACTTTTTTTTTTCATGATAAGAAAAACAATAAGTGTTACTTATATTTTATTTGGTTTTAGTTGTTTTAGTGTTACTTACTTTTTAGCATACATTTTTACTTCATGATCCTTTCTAACTCAAGATTATATGATTCTATTTGGAAAAAGTTCTATTCTTAAAGACAAATTATAGATGGCCTTGTATTTACATTGTTTCAGGATGAAGAACTAGCAAATAGACATTTTAAACTTAAAGCTTACAGCACAAACTATTACTCCCACTGCTTTAATTGATTATCAAACACTGTGTAGTTAGCCGTATAAGAGTCCTAGCTGCTCAGTGTGTGATGTGCTACTTGCCAAAAAGTCAGTGGTTCTTAACAACCAGCAGCTCAGCTCTGTGTGAGAAAAGTGATCAGTCTCCTCCCTTAAGATTTACAGTCTAGGAGGGCGCTCTGGTGGCTTATTAGCAAGAAGCTGCACTACAATCCCAGAGGTGTGTGGTTCAAATCCATCAGATGCTCGGCTAGAGAAGGAGAGGCAATCTCTTCCTGTACCAGTCAGATCCGATTTGATGGTACACACAAAAAATAATAATAAAAAAAAAGATTTACAGCCTTGGAAACCCAGTGAATGATCATCATGAGTCAGAATCAGCTCAACAGCAGTAGGACTAGGATTGATTTATTAGTCATTATTATTATTATTTAAAACCATCACAGAATTTAGTATCTCTCTCGGATAGTCATTTGTAATTTGTTATTCATTATAAACTTAACGCCAAATCAATCATCTCCCTTTTCAGACTGTGATCACAGCATTGTACATAAGTTTAGCTTTTGTCATTTAAGTGTTACTTCCACTTAATAAGGACAGGCTAACTTTTCTTAAACTTTTTAAAATAATAATAATAATAATGCTTTCTATTATTGCCTAAATTTAAAAGAATCCGTGATCTTGGAGGAAGTGCAGCTAAGGTGCTCTCTAAAGACAAAGATGGTGAAACTTCATCTTACATACTTAGGACATGTTACCAGAAGGGGTCTGTCCTTCTGGGAAAGGTACAGGTCAGCAGAAGACAGGAAGACCTTCAGCGTGAAGGATTGACACAGAAACTGTAGCGATGGGCTTGCACATGGCAAGGCTGCCATCTTTTGTTAGTAGGGTCGCGATAAGTCGTAATTGACTCTCTGGCACCTAACAGCAACCGCATCATCATTAAATAATGTTTGTTTTTCTTTTACTCTCTGTCTAGATGAATACTGGCAGAATCACCCAGAACTTCATGACATTCCGATATATTATGCATCATCTTTGGCCAAGAAATGTATGGCAGTGTACCAGACATATGTAAATGCCATGAATGACAAAATCCGAAAACAGATAAACATCAATAATCCTTTTGTTTTCAAACACATTAGTAACCTCAAGGTGAGTACTTGTGGAAGAAAGGTAAAGTAAAAATAATCCACCAGTATTTAGAGGTCAGCCACTGTTAACGCTGACTGAATCCCTCTTACAAATTCTCACCTTAACTTAGGTCAGCCAACTTTTAGAATAGAATTGCCTCATAGAGTTTCCAGTGCTTCTTATCTTTTCAGGAGCAGACTGCCCCACCTTTCTCCTGAGGAGGAGTAGCTTTCTTTGGTTTGAACTTCCAACCTTTGGTTAACAGCCAAGTCCTTAACCTCTGTGTGGCCTGAGAAAGGGCTTAAGACTTTGCCTATACTATCATCATTGACTTGCAGGGCCTTGCTACTAAATACTCAGAATCTCATACCTCATCCTTGGTAGGAATAGTGGGCATTTCACAGAGTCATATTCTGCATTTTATCAGGATTCTCCACTAAAAAGATATGTGCGTTGGAGTTTGAGAAGCATCTAGATCAGTAGTTCTCAAAGCTTGTTATACTGTGAAACCGCCTGGGAATTTTTTTTTAATAAATGAGGATGAACCCCCTACCAATTAAATAAAAATTCCTTGGGGATAAGATTGATCATAGGGACAGTTACAAAACTCTACAGGGAAAACTCTACAGGAAAGAGTAACAAGAATAACGATCTTGAACAGTGGATACAGAGAAGGAAAAGAATTTTTATGGAGTTGCCAGAAGCTTGGGAGTGGTAACTCCTGATATACAAGAAATTTAAGTCATAGATTAGCTGTGTACTTGTATTTGAAATCATCCCACTTAAGTCTATCATAACTTTTATTGGGCAGTTATAATAGTAGGTAACATGATACTATAGACAGATGACTTCTTTGTCACAAGGGGGAGAAAAGCTACTTCTCCAAATATCTTCTACTCCTTGTTTGCCTTAATAAGCCTTGCTCCAATTCTTATTTCCATTTACTCTTTTTAAAATGTTATCCAGAAGTACTTCAGTAATGTTTTTACTTATGTAAGCTTTCATTAAAACTAGAGCCTTCTAATGGGTAAGTGGTTAGGAGTTGTGTTGCCAACCCCAAGGAACATGGTTTGAATCCACCAGCTACAACTTGGGAGAAAAATGGACATTCTCCTTCTATACAGTTTACTGCCTCTTAAAATTTGCTGGAGGGTAACCTATAAGTCAGTTCCAACTCAAAAGACATAACAGTAAAAACTTAATGAAGTTGTGTTTTTAAATTTAATGTCTTTGGAGCAGTGGTATTCTAAGAAAAGAAGCCTTTCAAGTTTTCCTAATTTTTGTTCTCCCTTTCTGACTCCAGAACATTTCTTTCAACTATGGATTAATGTAATGGTCCTAATGGCCCTTTAGCTACCACTAGAAAATTTTGAAGGTTAATGCAAATTCATTTATTTTTATTACTTTTGGGGTTTTGTCCTCAGATAAAACTCAGATTGACTGTTTTGGAGTAAATTCAGACCCAGAGGTCCACCATGTTTTTTCAGATCCATCATGTTTTCAGGCTATAAATTGCAACAGGCAGGGATTGCCTTTTTTTCTCCTTTGGAGCAGCTAATGGATTTAGTATCAGAGTCCAGGTTTTTAAACTTCAGGTTTTACCTTTAATGTATAGTCTTGGGGGAGACTTTCCTGTCCTTCACACTCAGAGGAGCCCTCCACAGCTAAAGTCTGAGGTCATTTGTGGCAAGCACTGTCTGGTAGGCTCTGAGTCTTCAGACATAGTCAGAGAGACCTTTTTGCTTTCTTCTCCAAAAAGTGAACAGAAATCCATGAGTTTATATATAGTGAATGCCATCATGTCTAATTATACCTACTATATTAGCATTTAAGGGTATTATTGTATGATGAATATTTTGTTAATTTTTAGAGTTCTGAATTACTGCCAGTTAGGGCATAACATTAATGTCCTAGTTTACTGCATGTATTTCAAGGCCAAATTAATTAAAACTAATGGAAATTGCTTAGTGACGTATTTACATTTTGTCAGTTTATAGAGATTTGATAAATGTTGTATTCCATCATCACAGTAGTGGTAAGCAGCCCAGTTTAAGTAAGATATTTACCACATGCTTCATCTGTTCTCAGGGTTAGAACCATATAGGTAAAGATTAAAGGACGTTATGGACATATACATGTTTCTGTTTCTCACTTCACTTTGTAAGTGGCATGTATGAATATTTAAAAGTCTTTTAAAAGTATCATAACAGTGCTCACTTCAGCACACATACTAAAGATGGAATAATGCAGCATAATATAGTATGGCCCTAACACAAGAATGGCACAAAAATTCACAAAGCATTCATATTTAAAAAAAATAAACAATACAGAACTTTTAAAAAAATCGTAACAATGGTTGGCAAGAAGCTGCAACTACAATCCCAGAGGTGCATGGTTCGAATCCACCAGGTGCTCTGCCGGGGAAGGAGGGACAGTCTCCTCCTGTACCAGTCAGATCTGATTTGACAGTACACTCACACAAAAATAATAAAATAAAATTTTAAAAAAAATCGTAACAATGGAAAAAGCATTACAAACATGATAGTAATTTGTAGATATGTAGTTTAAGAATATTACAGAATCAGATATGGTTAGAGAACAGAAAGTACACAAGTAAAAAATGTTTGCTTTGTCATGAACACATTTCCCTGCTCTTTCTTCTTTCAGAGCATGGATCATTTTGATGACATTGGTCCCAGTGTTGTCATGGCGTCCCCTGGTATGATGCAAAGTGGCCTGTCCAGAGAACTGTTTGAAAGCTGGTGTACTGATAAGAGGAATGGTGTCATTATAGCAGGATACTGTGTAGAAGGGACACTTGCCAAGGTAGGTTGTAGTCTTGGACTTTGGAGTTATCCTAATTAAAATTGCAGAGGTGATGGTATCTTCATATGATTTTTCCATCAAAATAATTCTTTAAATAGTGCAAGTTTTTATTTTGAAAAATGAGGTTTTATTTTCTTAAAATGTACTGCTCTGTAAACTTGAACTTAAACTATGATAATAATAAATAATGAAAAATAAAGGTTGCAATTACCCAGTCATCAATTTATTACTTTACCTTTTCCTGTGAAATCATTTAGAGAAAATATTCACTATATTTATTTAAAATATATCTCATTGTTGTTGTTATTGTTATGTGCCATCAAGTCACCTGCAACTCATAGTAACCCTATGTACAGTAGCTCTAAACCCTGCTCTGTCCTGAGCCAATCTCACCATCTCTGAAACACCTACCTCCATTACCCCAGTCACTGAATCAATCCACCTCAAAGAAGGTCTTCCTCTCCTGCGCTGTCCCTCCACCCTTCCAAGTATGATGTCCCTCTCCAAGCTTGCAACATGTCCATAGTATGTCAGACAAAGCTTCAGAATCCCTGCCTCCAAGGAACTGCCTGGTTTAACCCTCTCCAGGATGAAACAATTCGTTTTCTTCACAGCCCATGGTATATTCAGTATTCTTCTCCAACATCACAGCTCAAAGGCATCAGTTCTCCTTTTATCCTCCCTAGTTACTGTCCAGCTCTCTGATGCATAATAAGTGATTACAAAGACCGTAGCCTGTATCAGGCACACCTTAGTCTCCAGAGTGACACCATTGCTCTTCTGTACTTTGGAGAGGTCCCTAACAGTAGACTTTCTCATTGTAATATGTCTTTTAATTTCCTGGCTGCTGGTGCCAAGAGTGTTGACTATGGAGCCAAACAAACTAAAGCTGTTAACAGTCTTAAGCTCTTTATCAATCATCCTGATGCTGCCAGTTGGCCCAGTGGTGAGAAACAAATATCCTTTTTACAAATTTTCCAATCTAAAAAGCAGTGTTTTAGAGCAGATGAATGTCAGTAATAAGAGTTTGGGTTTCTAACCCTAAGAGTAAGAATTTTTTTCCCCTGAAACATTCTGTATACATTGTATGCTGGAGGTTGTTTTAATACATATTAAATCTATAGTATTAGAATGAATTTTTTGTTGAAAGTCATAACTTTCACTTGAAAAGGTATAATATGTGCCTTTTTTAAAGACAATGTTGTTGTTGTTGTTATGTGCTGTCAAGTCGCTTGCAACTCATAGCAACCCTATGTACAACAGCCCTAAACTCTGCTCTGTCCTGTGCCAATCGCACCGTCTCCAATATACCCATCCTGATTACCCCAGTCACCGAATCAATCCATTTCATAGAGGGCCTTCCCCTCCTGCGCTGTCGCTCCACCCTCCCAAGCATGGTGTCCCTCTCCAAGGAACTGTCTATCCTTACAACATGTCCAAAGTATGTTAGATTGAGCTTCAGAATCCTTGCCTCCAAGGAGCCGCCCGGTTTGACCCTTTCCAGGATGACTCTGTTTGTTTTCCTAGCAGTCCATGGTACCCTTAATACTCTTCTCCAGCACCACAACGCAAAGGCATCAATTCTCCTTAGTCATTGTCCAACTCTCTGATGGATAACAAGTCATAACAAATTTATTTTTCTTTTTTCTTCTCTTTTTTAACAGCATATTATGTCTGAACCTGAAGAAATCACTACCATGTCTGGACAGAAGTTACCATTGAAAATGTCTGTCGATTACATTTCTTTCTCTGCTCACACAGATTACCAGCAAACCAGTGAATTTATTCGTGCTTTGAAACCTCCTCATGTGGTTAGTATGTGAATTTTACTTATAATCTTTTTAATTATATTTGTTTATTTAATTAGACATTTTTAAAATTTTTTTTTATTAATTTCAATGAACATTTACAGAGATTTTGGATTTCCATTCATTCATTGTTGCACTTTTCTCCCCACCCCCACCCCACCCCCAGTTTGCTCTTCTTGAAAAGCAAAAGAAAAATTCCTTCATTGGTATACAATCCCCCCACACATCCCCACCTTCACCCCGAGTATACTCCCTTCTGCAAACCTCATTCCGAACTCTTAAGATAATCATAAATGCCCTAAAATATATTACTTTTAAACTGTTCCTCTCCCTCATCAGCTTCAATGCAGTATACATAATTTATCCAGTTTTTCTCAGTCTTACCCCCACCCTGATGTCAGCCTCATTCTACAACAGTGGCACCATACAGTTACTTATAATATTTTTAAGGAGAACAAACCTAAGGAACCTTACAGCAGCGGTTTCACAAATCACACTCTAGCTCCTATTTATGTAGCACTTTATAAACAAAGCCCTGAGTCTTAGACTTGGGATTAACCTTTGTGCTAGCTCTACTTTGAGTTATACAACTTGTGCACTTTAATTTCTTCCACACTTACTTACTTTGGACTACTAAACCCAATTCCATTGTTCTTTTTATTTTATATCTTGCTGTCTTCCCCAGTAACTTAAAAGCAGAGACTTATAGTCAGACAGATTATCTTGCACATTCTTTCTAACCATGTACCCTGAGGCAAGTTGCTTAACTTTTCTGGGCCTTGTTTTAAATGGATAAAATAATGGTATCTAGTACATAAGGTTATTGTATCATCTAAACATATCCTCAAGCTCTTGATACATTGCCTGGCCCATGACCTAATCATAAATAACTGCACTGCCAACCTGAAGGAACATGAGCACCACAGGAGAAAGACAGAAAATCTCCTTCTGTACTGTTCACTGCCTCTGAAAACCTGCTAGAGGGTCAACTATCAGTTGCTTCAAACTCAACAACAAACAACATTCATCAACCATCTAAGTGTTTGCTGATAGTACTAAATGTACAGTGTAAGGATAATTTAGGTAATAGAAGAAGGCACACTTTAATTGTCAAAGTTTAAGACTTCAATAATTAGGAAATACCTATTTTGTAGCTTCCTATAGTTTTAAGTGTAACGTTTATATATTGTTAAGTTTCTTGTGTAGGTAACATTTCTTTATTTTTATGAGATTAGGGACAAGAATAAACTGGGGAAAAAAATCTTTAATAGAGGGATACCTATGGAACATGGTTCTATCTCCAAAAAAACTAACTACATTTTTGTTGTTATTCTTGTTGTTGAAATTGATTCCTCACAAATATTTTCTAGTGCATGTAACTTAGAGATATTCTCACGGACTTTAAAGCTGTGGAGCACAAGCTTGTTTCTTTTTGTCTCTGCTCTTGTCACCTCATTCTCAGTCCCATTCCCTCTCATTACCCTTGTGGGCTTTATGTGTTTAGTAGTTTAAATCCTTGGCTTGAACTTACCTCGTTTTAATACTCAGGTATAGTAAAAGTAAGTGTATGTAATAAAATAATACCAAAATCTTTGCCTTCAAGTCAATTCAGACTCTTACAACCTTGGAAGATAGAGTAGGTCTTTCCCAAAGGGTTTCCAAGGCTGTAATCTTGATGTGAGTAGACTGCACCAGCTTTCTCCGTGATGTTATGTACCATCAAGTTGGAACCAAGCTCTAGCTGACCCTCCAGCAGGTTTTCAGAGGCAGTTAATCACATGGCGGAGATTGCGCACCTTTCTATTTACCATTAGCCCAGCATTGTGCTAGGGTTTTACATGATCTTCATAATGACAACTGTTTTGTAGATGAGAAAACTTTCTTTTATAATAACTTTCCTAGAATTCTACAACTAACAAGTGGGAGAAACAGCATTTGTGTTCAGGTAGCCAGGCCCCCACAGTTTGTCTCCTTGTCACAAATCTGTGGGTAGTATCACTGGGTGTACTCTCTGTTAGCCTGGATAAGAAATAGTCCCCAGTAATCGTAAAGGTTAGAGATTATCAGTTTGTAAAATCTAACTAATAACACTAAACAAAAAGACATTGGTAACTGTTACAGTGGTTATAAATACGCTTCAGAGTTAATAAGTTTATTTTGTTCTGAAATAGTTATTAATAAATAAACTAGGCAAGCTCTGGTGGCCTAGTGGCAAGAGGTGCACGGTTCAAATCCACTAGATGCTCTGCTGGAGAAGGAGGAACAATCTCCTCCTGTACCAGTCAGATCTGATTTGACAGTACACACAAAAAAATAATTAAAAAAATAAAAAGAAATAAGTAAATAAACTGTAAGAAGTCACTTTTACCACAGAAAAAGCTTAACTTAAGCTTTATAAAGAAAATCTTATTTTAATAAACCATAAGTATTTTCTGAGACTGTAGGAATGGCAATAGTAGTTTTGTAGAGTCATGAACATTAATGTATAAATCTATAGTAGAGGCTATAGCAGTCACCCAATCCAACCCCTTCACCAATCTAAGTGTGCTATTGCTATTGTACTGTTGAGTCAGAACCAACCCATAGATGACCCTCCAATGACTTTTCAGAGGCACTAAATCATGCAGAAGGAGATTGCTTATCTTTCTCCCATTGAAGCAGCTGGTGGATTCAAACTAGATTTGGGTTGGCAGCACAACTCCTCACCACTAACCCACCAGAACTTCCTTCTGTATAAGTATAGGAGCTTAAAATAAGCCTGTAGCTTTAAAAAAAAATTATTTGTCTAATTAATGACAAAATTGAAGTAGAAAAGTTTTCTGTATTCTTTTTTAAAAAATATTGTTCTGTCTTTTACATAATCTTGGTAGTATAGTATATAATATACTGAGCTGCTAACCAAAAAATCAGTTGTTTGAATCCACCAGGTTGGAAAAAATGAGCAAACTCTTTCTATAAAAATGTATATAGCTCTCACCACATCAAGATAAAGGTAAATAATCCAATTGAAAAATGGGCACAGGATATGAACAAATACTTCACCAAAGAAGACATTCAGATGGCCAACAAGCACATGAAGAAATGTTCAAAATCTCTAAGAGAGATGCAAATCAAAACAGCTATGAGATGTCATCTCACCCCAGTCAGAATAGCAAAATTAAACAGAACAGCAAACAACAAACGCTGGCGAGGTTGTGGAGAAACTGGAACCCTTATTCACTGTTGGGGGAAGTGTAAAATATTGCAGTCACTGTGAAAAGTGGTGTAGCGCTTTCTCAAAAAGTTGCAAATAAAGATACCATTTGATCCAGCAATTCCACTATTGGGAATATACCCCAAAGAGACCATAACTGACATCCAAATAGATATATGCACACCCATGTTTATTGCGGCTTTGTTCACAATAGCAAGGAGTTGGAAACAACCTAAGTGCCCATCAACAAACAAATGGCTAGAGAAGCTGTGGTATATTCACACATTGGAATACTACGCTGCATTGAAAAACAAGGAACTCGGGAGCTCTGCTGGCCTAGTGGCAAGAAGCTGTGCTGCAATCCCAGAGGCGTGTGGTTCAAATCTGCCAGAGTCTCTGCTAGAGAAGAAGGGACAATCTCCTGTACCTGTCACAAACACAAAATAATAATAAAATAAATAAATAAATTTTTTTTAAAAACCAAGGAACTCATGCAATATTATTCAAAATGGGTGACCCTGGAGGACATTATGCTGAGTGAAATATCTCAGTCACTAAAGGACAAATACTGCATGGTACCACTGTTGTAGAGTGGGACTGACATCAGGGTAGGGGAGAAACTGGATAAATTTTATGTGTACTGCATTGAAACAGATGAGGGAGAGAATAATTTTAAAGCAATATATGATAGGGTATTATGGTTATCACAAGAGTCCAGAATTAAGGTTGCATAGTGGAGTGTACTTGGGGCAGTGGGAGAGATGCGGGGGGATTGTATACCAAAGAAAGAAATTTTCTTTCACTTTTCAAAGAGAGGCGCGAACTGAGGGGAAGAGGGGTAAGAGACAGGGAGAAAAGTGCAACAATGAATGAATGGAAATCCAAAATATTTATAAATGTTTATTAAAATTAATAAAATAATTTTTTTCAAAAAATGCATAGCTTTAAAAAACCTGGTAGAGGTTTGCTGTGAGTCAGAATTGACTCAGTGATAGAAGTGTTTGTAAAAGCTAAATAATGATGTCTTTATGCAAGTTTGATTGACTGGAAGTCTTTTAAAGTAGTACAGTAATTCATGACTTGTTTCATGTATTTAATACAACTAAAAGCCATCAATAACTTGAATTATCAATCTTTTCCTATTCTCTTTCAAAAATTACTGTGTATAGATTTTAGTCCACGGGGAACAGAATGAGATGGCCAGATTGAAAGCAGCCTTGATTAGAGAATATGAAGATAATGATGAAGTTCACATAGAGGTTCATAATCCTCGAAATACAGAAGCAGTGACCTTAAACTTCAGAGGAGAAAAACTAGCCAAGGTAAGAGCCCATGTATGACTCATGTATGGAGTAGAACTTTTAATAAGATTTTCTTGGCGGTAATCTTTACATAAGCAGATCAGAAAGCCGTTCTTTCTATAGCTACTGATACATGTAGCAGCCTTTCAGTTAGCAGCTTCTCTGACTTACATCACCTTGACTCCCATGCAAGTATCTTTGTCTTAAGAAACTAGATCTTTTTCTTAAAAAAAAAAAAGGAAAACAGATCTTTTCATCATATTGAGAAAAATTAATTGATGATTTCAGCTTCCTACCTTATAAGAATTTTATCCTTACACTTTTTAATTCAGGTTCAACTACATTTCTCAATTGGAAAATTTTTTAATAAGTTAGAACTTAATGCCATTACACTTGATAGCTCTTTAATCTATATTTCTATTTATTTGCCTTTTATCACCAAGAATAAGCATATACACCTTAAGATCCTTGATGCTACTTCCCTCACTAGAATGCAGAACATAGACTTTGTGAACTATATCTTGCCGTTTGATTTGAGTTGTCCTATGACACTATAGTCTTGAGCTTTCAAACCTAGAAAACCCACCTTGGAAGGTATTTGGTTCTTTCTTAGGAGTATCTATACTTAGATCTTCAATGAATATATATGCCTACTCACTTAAACACATATAGATTCTTCTCTGTTGTCTCTTTCCATAGATGTAGTCAGTCTAATTCCTATATATTCCATACTGTGAGAGCCATGTGTATAGGACGATTATGTTCTTTAAAAACGGTACTTGAAATTAATAAATCATTGTACCAGATTCTGCTATATAATATATGGCCTCATTTCTGTCATCAAGGCCATTATTTTGCCAACTACCAATCCTTGTTTTCGTCTAAGTTTTGTATTCTAGACATTTTAGAAAGTGGTGATGATTGTTAATGCATCTTGATTGCATGTTTGATCAAGTTCAGACTATAAGTTGGTGGTGGGTGGTGGTGGTGGTGGTAGATGTCATCAAGTCACATATAACTCATAGCGACCCTATCTGAACCCTGTTCAATCCTGTGCCATCCTCACAATGCTTGACACACAAGAGCCCTTTGCAGTAGTGACCGTGTCAGTCCTCCTGGTTGAGGGTCTTCCTCTCCTTCGCTGACCCTCCACCCTTGCCAGCATCATGTCCTTCTCCAAGGAATAGCCCCTTCTGCCAGTATCATTTTTTTCTCCAGAGAGCTCTCCGGCCGCACCCTCTCAAAGACATACCTATTTGTTCTTTGGCCATCCTTGGGATGTTCAATGATCTTCTCCAGCTCTACAGCTTAAAATTGTCAATACTTTTTTTGTCATCTTTATTCATTGCTCAGCTCTCAGATGCATAGCAAGTAATTGGAAAGTCTGACCTGAATAAGACACACCTTAGTCCTCAAACTGGCAGTATTACTGCTAAATAACTTGGAAAGGTCCTTAACTATAGATTTTCCCAGTGCAGTGCTTCTCCTTATTTCCTGCTGCTGGTACCAAGAGTGTTAATTGTGGATCTAAGCAAGATGAAGCTGTTGACCATTTCACTCTTCTTCATCCATCATGATCTTGCCTGTAGGTCCAGTGGTAAGAATCTTGACATTGAAATGCAATCCATACCCAAGACTGCATTCTTTGATCTTCTACAACAAGTGCTTCAAGTCCTCCTACCTTTCAGCAAGCAAAATTATATCATCTGCGTAATGCAGGTTATTGATGAGTCTCCCTTCAATCTTGATGCCACACTCCTCTTCACAGAAGTTGGTAGAAATCTTCACTTTCTGTATTTTGTCATATATGTATGCATCATTATCTGTTTGCTATTTACCTTTACCCATCCCTATGCAATCCTAGACTAGCTTTTTTGATCTTAGGAATTGTTACTTAGGTCATTCTTTACACCCACCCACCTATGGCTATCAAGTCTATTCCAACTCATTACTGCATCATATTTTTGAAGCTATAAATCTTTACAGGAAGAGATTATCTTTCTCCCTTCCTTAGAAGCAACTGGTGGATTCAGACCATTAACTTTTTGCTTAATTGCTTGACACATACTTGCACCAGTAGGGCTCCTTTTTCTTTAGTACAGACATACTTTTCTTTTGAGTGCTTCAAAGTAATATCATTTACTTTGGTGATGCTGTGCTTACTACACTCACCAAACAACAAGTAATCTGTTAACAAGCTCAATATCAAGAAGACAAAGATTTTCTCCACTAGGCCAGTGGCAGCCTTGTGATAGATAGAGAACAGATTGAGATTGTTCACAATTTCTGCTTGCTTGCACGTTTTGCACCAGAAGTCAGGAAACCAAAAGAGGTAAAATCAGGGACCTCCCTAGAAGGCTGAAGAGCAAAAATCTCAGTCTAGAGACTAAGGTACACCTGATTCAGGCCATGGTTTTCACAATTACTTGCTATGCATCAGAGAGCTGGACAGTGACTTAAAGATGACAGAAGAAAAATTGATGCCTTTGAGTTGTACTGCTGGAGTTTGAACACACCAAGAGAATAAACAGATCTGTCCTGGAAAGAGTGAAACCACGTTGCTCCTTGGAGGAAAGGATTTTGAAGCTCCATCTCACATACTTTGGGCATGTTATCAGAAGGAGCTAGAACTTGGAGAAAAACATCATGTTTGAAAAATAAAGGGTCACAAGGAACTGCAGCTACAATCCCAGAGGCGCACGGTTCGAATCCACCAGATGCTCTGCCGGGGAAGGAGGGACAATCTCCTCCTGTACCAGTCAGATCTGATTTGACGGTACACGCACACAAAAATAAAAAGAAAAAAAATTAAAAAAAAAAATAATAAAGAAAAATAAAGGGTCAGATAAAGAAGGGAAGATTCTCAGTGAAACTGATTGATTGAATGATTGATTGATACAGTATTGATTGATTACAACAGTTAGCTTGACAGAGATTGTGAGAGTAGCACAGGATCAGTTAAGTTTTCAGTCTGTTGTTCATAGAGTCTCTGACTCAGATTCGACTCAGTTGAACCTGGCAGCATGTCATGTTAAGCAACTCTTAATAGCCCACTTGATCATGGATTATAATTTTTTGATGAAACTAAAGTCTGTTGGCTAGAATTTTACTGAACAATAATGTATCTGTGTTTATGATGGTATACTGATTTGTGATTTTCTTTTTTTTATGTCTGCCTAGTTTAGGTATCAAGGTTATGATGACCTCATAGAAAGAGTTAGGGAGTGTTCCTTCCGTGTTTTGAGGGGTTTGAGTGGAACTGGCGACAACTCTTCTCTGAATATTTGGTAGAATTTCTCAACGTAGACGTCTGATCTTCAGCTTTTCACTTGTTGTTGACAGTGTTTTGGTTTTTTTTTTTTAAATCCATCTCCAGTCTCTT